ATTGCAATAAAACAAGCATTACCCGACTAAAATCGACGATAAACGCTGATTAAAAACGACTATTTCGCATTCGAATATTTCGTATCTGTCGTAAAGCTTCAGCCTTTCGAGTGTTTGAATATGAAAAATGTGTGCATTGCAGCACGAAGAAAAAAAAATTCCCCAAAAAAAAAAACGGTTTATTGAATGTACTCGATCAAACGATATGTCTGTAGTTCCCGCCTGCGTGTCAATTAGTGAGCATCAATCTCTCATCAGCCCACCACAAACTTTTGTTGAGATCGAACGAATCCGGATGAATCACAGCCGTTGATTCTTCTTCTTCTTCATCTACTCTGATCTTGCTTTCGGGTAGAGTGTAATGAGCCCTCTTGTGCCCGCCTAGAGCTTGCCCCGAAGGAAACACCTTAAAGCACGTCGGACACTCGTGTTTCTTGATTTTCCCGCCCAAACGAGCAATTCCCACATCGCGATTTTCTTGCTCGTGTTGAATTTGAACCCGATCGAGCTCGGTTGAATCGGACAACGGAACCACACCACTATATATTCCCCCCTGCAGTTCATCAAAACCCTTCACCATTTCAAGATTCGCTATCTTGAAAGAGTCCGATTTCGCAGAATCGCAACTCCTCGAATCATCTTCGGAAACTTCGAAACTGGCCCTTCTCGTTTTAACAGCAGAAACATCGAACGGACCATCCATTACTACGTCTCGATCAAGATTATCGAATCCAGACACAGTCTTCCCACCAAAAAAACCCCGATTTTCAGCACCGAAGTAGTCCGAACAATCTTTGACCGAGTCAATGTCCGACCAACTCGTAACACCCCTCGAAAGCATAATCAAGCACAAAGCCGCCTCCTCTGTTTCCTCGGAAACATATCCATTATCTCGAGTACTATCCGTATTATTATAAGTAGCGGCGGTGGTAGTGCCTTTATACCGAATTCTCGATCTTTTGCGACGAACGGGGCACAAGTTCTCCAAATCGGACAAGCTCTCGTTCGACCGGTCGGAAGCCCTCGTCTTCTTGGAGTGGGTTTTCATGTGTCCGAACATGGCTCTCATCGAGTCGAACCCCTTGCCACATGTCTTGCACTGATTGGCCAGATGCGAATCTCGGTCGTTGTTCTTGATCGAGTGGCTTCTCATATGTCCCGATAAAGCTCTCAGCGACGGAAACCCTCTGCCGCATAATTTGCAGGAAGAGTAACAACAAGGAGACGAAGAGGAAGGTTCGTTGTTGTTCTTCGGGGTTTTCGTAAGGCCGTGTTTGGGATCGGAAATTCTCCATGACTTTTTTGGATTCTCACGCAGCACGTAGGTGCTGTTTTGGTCGGCTTCTCCAAACTCGTCGCTAATCTTGGCATTTTCGTCGCTGTTTGATTGATGATCCTCGTCGTCGTCTTCTGCAAACTCCGATTTGATTGCAGCTTTTTTGGAAGCTGCGATTACAGCCAAATGAATCCTCATGTGACCACCGAGTGACTTCCCGCTGACGCAGATTTTGCTGCATATCTTGCATACGTAGCCCTGCACTTGTGCTTCCGCCGCCATTAATGGAAGCTTCTATGATGATCCGAGAAACAAAAAAAAAAACCCAGATGGGAAAATCGAGGAGAATTCGATTCGATTGTTCAGGGGTTTCTTGAAGAAGCTGCAATCACTAATTAAACACGCGAAAAGCAGAATTCGAAGTGGAGAAAAGAGAAACCCCCATCATGAATTGTGCGGCAAAAAAGAATGAGAGAGAAAAACACGAGATCTGATTAACGAAGAACACTTGCCCAAAAATCAAAATTGAGCATCGGAAAGTGAAGAGGGAAGGGGGGTTAGTTATAAGGGGCTGTTTGGGGAGTGATTATATTGAATTTTTTGGGTAGGGAGAAAGCCTTGCATGGAAGCAAAGACATTTGCACGAGGGCTGTTCTCGTACATGCACGAGTATATTGATACTGTGTACTCGCGTCTCGCTTGCAGATTTGTGAAAGCTATTTTTTTTTTTTTTTTTTTTGATTTGATTGATGATGATGGCGAGTGATTGGGCTTTCTCTACACGCAGGCGAGTGGGGAAATTGTTAGCAGGGGGGATTATTGGGTGATCGATCAATTTAATTGGAGCATTTGGTTAATTTGTGTGGTACATCTAGCAGTTGAAGTTGTACGTTGCTGGTTTCTTTAACAAAAAATTGACCCCAATATTTATGGGCCCTAAGCCCAAGCCTAAAATTATGTATTAAAAGCCCGAACTCAATTTTTTTTGGAGAACCGAATACATTGTGTTAGGCCCATGTAGGTCCAATTTTATTACGCGTTTTTTAGTCGTAAGTTTTCGACGATATTATTTTATGGGAACACCACCTAATTAAGCATCAAAAAACATATTGAACTTGGAGCATAATATGATAGATAATGAGGTAAAGGAATTTATTTATTTATTTTTACCTAGACATCTAATTTTCGTATGATAATTTGGGTGGGATGGCCTTCCTCGGTTCGTCCACCAAATAAATTTGAATGCGATGGCAATATATATGGGGAGTTGGATGTTACACCTGATTATATACATTGGGTGTTTGTTAATCGTAAATAAGGCTTAATATTATCCGCTAAACGCACATACACATAAATGTGTGGGACTATGTGTAAATCTACGGTCAATAAGCATCCGGAATAAATAAATACAAACTAAACATTACTATTTAAATCCAGATTCCTTCTTGAAAAATAGGAATACCTACTACCTAGTACCTACCTCCAAATATGGAGGGCACCTGTATTTTGATTGGATAAGAAAGATTCTTCTTCCACCGACAAATTCCCCAAAGGTAGTTGGGTTCAGAGGACATGCTTTTGACACGTGGAAAATAACAAAAACACAATTTTAAAAAAAAAATTAAGAAAAAAAATGAGGTCCCTCAAGAAAAGACAGTTTCAATAGACATCAATACAAAGTAAAAAGAACACTCAAATGACTCTCTTACCAACTACAAAACGCATATATGAAGAAAAATTCATGAAACGGATCTGAATTTTTCAATTTTTTTTAATAAATGAAACGAAAAGTATATTGTAAAAAAGAATAGAATTAGTCAGGTGCGTTTATGCAACAGCAGGCATGTCCTTGAGCCAGGCGTCAAGCGGCTTACCGATCGAGTAAACGATAAACCCGATCTCCCTCAGCTTATTGGCATCGACGACATTCCTCCCGTCGAAAACAAACGCCGGTTTTTGCATGTTGTCGTAAATCCTCTGGAAATCGAGCTTCTTAAACTCGTCCCACTCTGTAAGAATACAGACAGCATGCGCATCCTTTGTGGCATCGTACGCGTCCCAAACGACCGAAACTTTCTTCACTGTGGTGGGGCTCATCGGCTGGAGATGAAGTGGATGGTCCCAATCGAATTTGTTCATCGAGAGATCCCTCTGGATTTGATCCTCTGTTACCTGTGGATCGTATATACTCAGCTGCGCTTTGTCGCCTAGCAATCCCTGGCAGACATCTATGGCGGGAGTCTCCCTTGTATCGCCCGTGTCTTTCTTGAACGCGAAACCCAAAATCGCGACTTTCTTGTTCGCGACAGTGTTGAACATGGAGGAAACCAGTCGGTTGACGAAACGGCTTTTTTGGTAGTCGTTGATTTTGATGACTTGCTTCCAGTATTCGGCTACCTCGGGTAAACCGTTGCACTCGCAAATGTAGACCAAGTTCAGAATGTCCTTCTGGAAGCAAGACCCACCGAAACCAACACTTGCGTTGAGGAATTTCTGCCCGATTCTTGTATCTTTACCGACGGCGTAAGCCACTTCCGTGACATCAGCACCGGTGGCCTCACAGAGCGCTGACATGGCGTTTACTGACGAGATTCTTTGAGCCAAGAACGCGTTAGCAGCTAGCTTCGAGAGCTCTGCGGACCACAGATTGGTAGTGAGGATTCGATCTTCGGGTACCCATTGGGCGTAAACAGATTTCAGTGTTTGAACTGCCTTGTACCCTTCTGGGGTTTCCCTTCCACCGATGAGAACCCTGTCGGGGTTAAAAAGATCTTGAATTGCAGTACCCTCAGCAAGGAATTCTGGGTTGGACAGGATCTGATACTTTATTCCTTTACTGTTGTGGGTCAGAATCTTTTCGATGGCTTCGGCGGTTTTGACAGGAACCGTAGACTTCTCGACCACGATTTTGTCGGACTTTGACACGTCAGCAATCATGCGGGCTGCACTCTCCCAGTACGTCAAGTCTGCAGCTTTGCCAGCTCCAAGACCACGGGTCTTGGTTGGGGTGTTGACCGAGACAAAGACTATGTCTGCCTCGAAGACGTGTTTCTCCACGTCTGTGCTGAAGAAGAGATTCTTGCCTCGGCACTTCTTCACCACCTCCTCGAGGCCTGGCTCGTAGATTGGAAGCTGGTCGCTGTTCCAGGCAGCGATACGAGCAACGGAGATATCTACAACAGCCACTTCGATTGAAGGGCATTTGAGTGCTATCACGGCCATGGTGGGGCCTCCCACATACCCTGCTCCAAGACAGCAAATCTTCACCATGTTTTTTTCTACTTAGAATGCCCTGCACATTTTAGAATTCTTTGTTAACACAAAAAGGTGGTACTCAGTCTCTTGCAAGATTAAATTTTGATTCAAGACAGAACGATGAACGAAAGAGACTATCGAATGAGGTGCCTATTTCGGGAATCAATTACAATTTACACAGTTTATGCTTCCACAAACAGAATTGAAAATCACCCAATTCGATTCATATCACTATAACGTTAAAAAAAGTGTTTCACAATCAGATCTGACGAGTAGCTAGCAGAAACAGAATTCTGCAGCACCTAAAATTTTACTGCAATTGAAGATTAGATCTATCACGATAAACACATCCCAACTTGCATGAAAAATAAAATTTCAGCTAACTCATAAATCATCACAGAATAAAATGAATTCACATATACTTCATGATACTCACACAGATCTGATAAAACTCACGCATTAATCCATCAAAAATGAAATTACATAAAAAAAAAAAAAAAAAAAACGAGAGATCAGATCAGTTAAACCACTGTAATCACAATTCACACGTAAAACGCCAAAATCTCCGTTTCAGATCAGACGCAACAATACAAATTTAACCTAGAACAAATCACAAATTCAATCCGCAGACACTATACAGCAAATTACATCTAAGAACTTCACACACACTGACACACACATGAATCCACCTTCACCAACACGCATTTTAGCGTTTTAAATGTTTGAAAAAATCCAGTAAATGAAGAAACGCAATGAGGTTTTGATTGGAAAAAAAAAACAAAGAAATTACCTCTGGATCAGTAATTTGGCTTCCAGAGAGAGAGGAGGAGAGAGAGAGAGAGTTCGATCTGTGAAGCGACAAATGTGTTAGGAAAGAACTCGGTACGAAATCAGAGGGAGAGGGTGCAGCTCCTTATGTAGTCGTTGGCTTCCACTAACTACCCCCGACAATTCACTAAAATAACAATAATACCTCGACCGTCCACACCTTCTACGAGGGGCAAAAGCGGAAAAACAAAAATTCGGTGGAGCGAAGGTGAAATACCTAGATTGCCCTTGGGGGAAGTGGAGAAGGAGTGGTGAATTATATTCTACGCGTACTTCTGACTGCCGGTCCATGCTCCACTGTCAAACACGTACCACAAGTGTTGACCCGCTTGTACGTTGTGCTTCAATGATGGTACGCCAACAAACTCCCGTTTCATTTGTGTCGGCTTGGAAGTTGAGGTGTGGTGTTTCAATTTTAATCTTATTTAATTGTATTTATTAATTATTAATATCTTTTAGTAGTAATGTTTGAGCAAGAAAAGTAACATTATTTTTGTTGCCTAAACGGGCGGAAATTCTCAATCGCGTCGTTAAGCGTTAAGAATGTGACACACGAGAAATTTGCGTTTTACCTTTAAAAGAAAACGACTAGTTATGAAGTTCGGCTCGAATTTTTGCTGTTTACATAATAGATTTTAATTGCGAATTTAGTTTTGTTGTAGGTGGTTGCAATTTTTTATTTTTTCATTATTATTTTGGTAGCTAAAATAGAACCTTCCTAAACACATGAACAATAAGAATTTGGCGATTTTATCATAATTGGTAGGTGTCGTGTTGGTAGGTGTTAGCTCCGTACAATGGACACACCTAACTTTTTTTTATAAATTTAAATTGCATTTTTCATGAATATGCACAATAAAAATATGTCCTAAGGTTATAAGTTGTTGAAACTGCACTACTTATGAAATATTTTTTTGTTGAAACTGTTTGAATTTTTTTTTTCAAGAAGATCACATTTTTATTAAGATCTTGAAAACACGAAAAATAACATACAATTTTATTATCCAAATACATTTAAATTTAATTATAAAAATAAGACGTAACAACGTATCAAATGTTACACCAACTTATCATATATAAGAATTTATCTAAATTTAGCAAAACATGCTTTTAACATTCCTTTGTAATACCCATATCAAAAAATATCTTCCTTTTGCAGAAATAATTTCGTACCCGATGCATTTATTTATTTTTAAATATATTGTACTACTCTTGGCAATATTTCCAAGCAATAGTTATAACTTACTTTACTTGTATAATTAGCAACAAATTGAAGTACTAATAAGTTTATATAAAAATGAATAAATATATATTATACACTATTGCTAATCCCATGAAAGTTTACTTACAAGTCATAAAGAAATTGAAATATAAACTAATTAATTATCGATTGATATTGTTAATACTTTGTATAATGTATTAATTATAATTTATAAGCATGGAGCTGCCATAACTTCAGAATTAAGTATGAACTTTAAAGTGGGGCTACAGTAACGTTTTTTTGAGTGACATTTAAGCCACAATGAAATAACATTTGATGAAGAGTTGACTAAGATTAACAAAATATTTTATGAAACTAATTATTTTCGAAAATTAAAATGGGATCAGAAATCGGATTCTCCAATTGACAAAAGTTGAAGAAAAAAAACCGGAAATCAAATTTGGGCCAAAAACGGGTCAGGCATTGCCGGCGTCCCGTGAGCCCGTTACGGGCCACGTGCCGGCCCAGACCATGGAATAAAACTGATGCCTGGCCCATCAAATTAAATAGCTGGGTTAGACGGGCTGAATCCACGGGCTGGGTTGCGGGCGGGCCGCAGGTTCTACGGGCCTGGGCCGAATTTTGTTTATCAGTAATTATACGGTATACCCATCAATCATCATAATCTATGCATAACGGTAATCTTAATTGTGCAGAATCCAACGGTCCAGAACTACCTGATATTCAAACAATGAATCCAACGATCCAAAAAAAAACCTGTTGCGAAAAAAAAAAAAAGGAAAAAAAACTAGCCGTTACTAACCGAGCAACGTTCTTCTTCTTCTTCCCCAATTTCCTTCAACCATGAACGAGTTTACCAAATCACACAGTAAAATCTAGAAAAATTCAATTCCCCAGTAATAATCCTCTTATTTTCTCACTCCTAAAATAATAAATTTTGCGGAATTCCCCATGGATTCAGGCTCGAAGGTTGTAGGAGGAACGACTCCTGTGAAAGAGAGAACCGCCAGATCGAAATTAAATGATTCCGTGAGATGCTCTGAGAATTTGAATCCAAATGTATCAAGTCCTGGATTGAAATTCTCGAATTCTCCATCGATCATCAAATCTGACAAGAGCGCCAGAAAATCTGCTTCCGGAAATCCGAGACCTAGCCAATTGATTTTGGCTTCGCCTTCGCCGAAGAAGAAGATTCGAGAGAGGAAGTTCGTGATAGCCAAGAAGAAATCGAGGAACGCGGAACTCAATTCTTCTTCGGCGGCGGATGCTGCCGCGGTGTGCGGCAAGTGTGCGAAGGCGACTGGGAAATCATCCAAGTGTTTGTGCGTGGCGTACGAGAGTCTGCGTGCTTCTCAAGATGATTTTTTTAAGAATCGAGGTGAAGCGGAGGATGAGATGTTCGATCAGCTGAAGGTGTTTGATGTGGTCGCTGAGAAGGAAGTGGCGAAACCTGAGATTGACAAAGGATTGGAAAGGAAAATTAAAGACGAATCAGATGAGACTGCGGTGAAGAGGAATAGGGATATTCTGTCGGAAGAAGCGAGAGTGACGGTTCCGATTCGAGGACCGGGGAAAGTGATGAATTTGGTCAAGGAGTTTGAGAAACTTTCGATGCTCAAATTGGGCAATTCTGAAGAAAATGAGGTCGAGGAAGTGAAGCAAGATCTAAAAGCTTCAGAATTGGAGTATTCCTCTTCTTCGTTTTGTCCGTCGGATTTATTCCTGACATCAGAAAGCTTAGGTCTCGATACTCGTCGTTCGTATTCACTGGACAGCAGCCAGGGAAGGTTAGTGACGATTACATCCGACGTATTTGAATTATCACGTAACTAAATACTGTGAGTTTGTTGCTTCTTTTGGTTTGATTGGCAACTGAACTGAGTGTGTGTTTTTTTTCGAACTTCAGCTTTTCAACCATAACGTCTGCTGGTCATAAGAAAATCAGGCGAAAGGTGAGCATTTTTAACCGAATTTCTGTTAATTGAAGACAAATTATGCCCTATGATAGGTGATATTTAATGCGTTTCCACATCTGCAGAGCACCGAGTCATCTGGGAACCGTATCAAACGGCACTGGCAAAGAAAGCAGCCCAAAGCAACCTCTCAAAAGCCTTTCATGCTGAAAACAGAGGTTTGTTTCCTGGAATTCATTTTAGTATGTATAAGTATAAATTAAATTAGGCTGAAGGATTCAGAAGCTTCATATTGAAAGGAAAAATATGAAGGATCATCTTACTATGAAACAAAACATTTGAGCAAATTTTTGGCACTCTTGTTCTGGCTTACAGTTAGAATGGAGTGCAAGAAGGAGGCGAGGAAATCGTATTAGTATATAAAATTATTTTCATGCGCTTTGTGGGATAAAGTACATAGTTAAATTATAAATTGTGTATAATAAGTGAGCTTTGTGCAGAAAGTGACTTCATTACAGAATCCATTTGCTTAGAAGTTTTGCTCTAATTTACTCCTAAGTGACAAATTAGTACTAAACCAAGTCTTTTAAGCCTAGAGTTCTGTGCTAGGTCAGATGATCTTCAATGTGGCATTATTGATACAAACCTAGTTTCTCCAAGGTCAATAGCAAGCAGTAGCTACGGAATCTCTTTGCTCTACTTGAAATTGGACCGAGTGCGATTACCATATTGCCTCTTATCCTAGTAGATGCTTGAATGAGTTAATAACTGTCTGAGATCATATACCTGCAGTGTGATGAATTTACATTGGTTTAGGTTCGTAATTGTTTGCGTTCTTGAAAAAATGCATATTCAGCAATTGTTCCGAATGCAGGAAAGAGGTAGATCCAAGGAGGAGGAATTCATGAAGAAGTTGCAACAAATGCTAGAGGAAGAAGAGAAGATGAGGATACCTATAGCTCAAGGTCTTCCTTGGACAACAGACGAACCAGAGGTAATTTGTAGCACCTGGGAGTTTGAATTATGGATAAATATTCTTTAGTTTTATCTCTTTTACTCTTTACCGATGGTGTATTAAATCAGCCTAAGTATACCACATTAGTACTAAATCAGAATAATCGTAACTATGAAATTCTTGGACTTAGCAGTCAATAAAACGTAAGACACCATTAAAAGGCTAGTTAGGAGTTGAAAACTTAACCAGAATAGCAATATGTCCACTCTGGTCGAATTCGATGGTTGCCCCTTAGGAGAACTTAATAGACAATTTACATTAGCACACCTATAATGAAATTTGAAATACACATGCATTTTTACCGAATTTTGATCACATGGATCGAACTTCTTTAGTACTTGGTTATGCTCCTATTATGTTTTTAGATTTTAAACTTTCCTGCTCGTTTCTGCTACTTCAATAATGATTCGATGAAATTGGTTTGTCATATAACAGTGTCTGGTGAAGCCTCAAGTTAAGGAAAACACAAGACCAGTCGATCTGGTATTGTACAGTGATATGAGGGCTGTTGAACGCTCCGAGTTTGATCACCAGGTACCATCTTCTCGATGAACTACGCTTCCTAAATCCTCCCAATATGAAAGATAATGAAGCCAAGTTGTTTAATACTTACGCCTCAAATTCTCTTTTCGCAGTGTACCATTACATGTTACATAATGTCATAGTTAGCTAACAGTTTCTTTGTCTCTGTTAAGGTTGCCATGAAAATGAACCTAATCAAACAGTACCGGATGGAAAGAGAGAGACAGCAAAAGGTAAAAAATTACATTTTAAGAAAAAATCTGTATCAACGCAAATTATTATTATCACGAATTTCACTAAAGAATGTAATGGCTTTTGCAGCTGGCAGAAGAAGAAGAAATTAGGAGACTGAGGAAGGTGCTGGTTCCGAAAGCTCAACCCCTGCCGTATTTTGATAGGCCATTCGTCCCCAAAAGGTAAAAGGCTCGATTTGCTAATAATCTGTTTAATAAACTAGCTGCAACTAAAGAACAAAAACTCTACATATAAAAATTTGTAACATCCGTCTTTTCTTGTTTCAGATCTATGAAGCAGCCGACCGTACCAAAAGAACCGAAGTTCCATATACCTCAACAGAAGAAGATCAAATGTAACTTGTCTTTGGATGATGATTTATACTACACACAACAACAACAACAATGAAGTATTGTGGATGGTGTAGTGAATAATATTTACTTGCATCGTTTTTTAGGCGATTTCTTCCCATTCTTTTGATTTGTATATGTTGCAATAAATTGTGACATGCTTCTAATGAATATAATCTTTCCATATTCTTTTTAGGGTAAATTACAACCACCTCCCTGAGGTATGGTCAAATTACAAAAACACCCCTCTTGTTTGGATAATTACGTCTATCCCCCTCAACTATGATTTTTTCTTACACCTCCACCCTTGTGGTGCCAAATTCAACATAATCATCTAGATTCCGTGGAATGTGCTCTAGTTTGTACTCGTTTTGTGTAAAAATACAGTTTTCATAATGTAGAGTTCGAATGAGATAAAACGGGTACAAAAGTGATAATATTCCATATAATCTCGAAGATTCCACTAAATTTGAGGAGTTGAGGGGTGGTTGTAATTATCCAAACAAGAGGGGTGTTTTTGTAATTTGACCATACCTAGGGGGGTGTTTTTAATTTACCCTTCTTTTTATAATGCAATAAGTTGTGAAATGTTTTTAATGACTTGTACACACAACAACAATGAACTTGTAGTTGTAGATGCTTGTGATTAATCCTTTGCATCATTTTACATTCTTTCGATTTGCACTCATAATGCAATAAATGTTCCTATGTCTTCCATTTATTTGTGTCTCAAAATTCTTACACAAGTATATATCTTAAACATCACACAAGTAAATAACATGTTAAACACTACATGAATATTTTTGCGTTTACATTAAACATGCTTTTGTCAGTTCTGATTAAAAAATAACTTCTATATTTATGCGTGTGTTGTTTATGTAAAATTGGAAACATGAATTAAGACTCAAAGAAGAATTATCCAACAATGAACCAAGAACTAGATCCATATCAAAATATAACTCAATAATACGAAGTACAAAATTATAAAGTCAAAACATGAAACATTTTTTCAACCAAAAATTGTTCAAAGATTTTGTTCCGATTAAGTTCTCAACAAGCTAAAACACAAGCCTAAATAATTTATCTATGGTGCAACGACCACAATTCGTCCAGCAACTTGGTCAAGATCCCGTTGGCCACTGGATGTGATTTTTCTTCCACTGTAAACAAAACAAGCAGTGATTAATTTGTGTACTAACAAACAATATGAAAACAAAAGGACCCAAATTTTCATATGAAAATGCTCGTGCTTTCCTAGTCTTATAGTGGCTGACAGTTGATTTATTACACTATTACTAAATATGACAAGACTTGATGCTTACTCTTACAAGTAAAGGATGCTAAACATGACAAGCATTAGTGATAAATGACGAGCACAAGAATTTATAATCAACATAAGAAGTATTGAAGAACTAACCCGGTTGGCTCAATTTCAACAATGTTCATCTTCTGCAACTGCTGAAGAATGTGACGAGCAACAGATCCGCTGCTCTTGCCGAAATGAGGTGGACGACTTCCGTTCCTCTTGCTTCCACCGTAAATTCTCCTGAAGGCACCAACTCCAAGTCCTCCCCTCAAGTATATCTTCCTAGCCATGGAAGCTGCATTGTCCAATAATCGAAGAGAGTTATACTAGAAACAAGATACTGTGGAGATGCCAATATTAATTCGAAATCATGAAAGCAAAAGGAAAATTAGTTGATCGAAAAGAATGTCACCGAAAGAGACAAGCTGATCAAGCAGTTAATGTTTCCTAAAGTACATATACATAACAACGAAAGCAAAGGGTAACAAAGTATTACCTGCTCTAATGTAGTACCAGTCGGGATCATAAGGAGCAAGCTCTTTCAGCACACCAGTTTTCACAATATCAGTCCACTCGGGAAGCTCCATCTATTGATTGGGATAGAACAGGAAAATAAATAAATATCCATGGAAAAAATGCATAATTAAGAAATGGTAAAACTAAACATAATTAAGATTGAATAACGCAACGTGAAAAGAAACACATGACATCAAAGGTACAAACAGTGGGCTTCTAATTTACAAGAGAAAAACACAAATATCAATACACTTTGAGCTACTTAAAGATCGACCCATGCGAAAATCAACTATGCACACGACACGGTTATGAACCGGCCAATTACGACTCTGTCCTTTTTTTAGGTCTTCTGAGCTGTTAATAATTAATCAAATCACCAGTAAATGATAACGATAATTTTCATTCAACATACAAATTGACATTTAACCATCTTCTTCCCCCAACCGGGTTACAATTACCATCCAAAATCACTCACTACGAAAATGAAGAATATCATAAATCAATCCAACATACATACAAATTGCAACAAAAAGGTTGAGGCTTGGTTCAAACTAGTCCTAACCTAACCTTTTCACACACACAACCTCAAACGAAAATCTAAAGAGCATTTTTCTCAAACGAAAATCTAAAGAGCATTTTTCTATAAAAAATCCGAACGAAAATGAAATAGAAATCTGTAAACATAAGAAAAAAAGCCAGAAAATTTGAAGTCACCTTGCCGGAGCGCTTGAGGTGAGCGGCGTAGGCTTTGACGAACTCGTGGGGAGAGACGTCCTTGACATTTTTCGCAGTCGCCATTGATGAAGAAGATCCGTGAATCTGAGCTCACTAGACCACGCACGATATGCGATGGGTTGCGAAGCAGCGGTGGCAGAATTAGGGTTTTCGCAAAAGTTAAGCTATTGCGAGATTGTTATATAGTGGGTGGCCTGCTTGTGTATACGCCCCCCATTTTAACTTTCGGGCTTTCTTGTGGGCTTTGGCCCATTTTCCGGAGATTATTATTGGGACCTTTAGCCCAATTATATATATTATTATTGCTTTTTCTTTTTTCTTTTTTTTCATTTGTTATATAAATTATGACAACAAATAGTTATTGTGAATCATATTTGTTCATTTAAATAAAAGATCTTTTCCTTGAAAAATAAAATATTAAGTTTTATGCTTACATCTATTTATTTGGGGGCATTTTTTTATTTAATAATTATTTTATTTTTGTCAATATTTTGATAATTGTTACGAATATATGCTTTTATATCTATTTACTTATATATTTTCTAAATCATCTCGCCAAACATTAATGTGCGATATTGATGGCCGTTTGGCTAAAATTATTTTAAAAAATTAATATCGTACATCTGTTGCATCTTATTTTTTAAAATTAATTTTAAAACTATTTGGATAATGATCTTATAAACTTATTTTCATAAAGTTCAGGGGTTTGTTTTTTAATAAGAACAAAACTAGGGGGTTGAAAATAATAAAACGAAACGACATATTCTTTTTAGTTTTTGGGTAAATTTCACTTTACCCCCTCGTACTCTCAATTGCATCGATTTATCCCCTGTATTCGTACCATTTTCCAATACAGCCCTCTTCGTCAACTTTTTTCGATTTTGACTTTGAGACCGTTTGGTCAACTATGTAAATTTCAAAATTGCCACTGCCTATAACACGTCGTTTCTTCTCCGTCAATATTATCGTTTCTTCTTCTCCCACCACTTCCCCTTGCGATATCCCCAAATTGAATTAACCCTAGAAAACAACAGCAAATTTTTTCACAAATTTTGATTGATTTCTTCCATAATAAATGTATGATAGGAAACGGTTCACCATAGGCAAAAAAATATGGGCTTAAGCAACATTAGAAGAAGTCAAAATCGAAAAAAGTTGACGGAGAGGGCTGTATTGGGAAATTGTACAAGTACAGGGGCAAAGTGATTCTTGGGCAAAGTAAAGGGGCAAAGTGGAATTACCCTTATTTTTTTCCAACAAATTAACTAGATAATAGCGAGTCAAAGAATACTGGTCAAACCCCTAAACGGCGCCGTTTTGTGCTCCAAAAGCTTGATTGGCCACCTCGCAAGTCTCTGTTCTTCCGCAGTGACAATTCATCTTCATCCCTCCGGGATCCGGCCTAACCCTAGCCTCATCACACACCGCAGATTCCACCACCGGAGCCGCCGTAGCCATGGCGTTCCGCCACCTAATCAGCCTCGCCCGCCGCGGCCGAAGGCCACCCATCCACGCCCTAGCCTCCCGACGCCTCCTCTCCACCGCCGTTGCCGCTGCTACCGATGCCCCCCTCCCGTCTACTACGCGCCAAACCCCTATGATCTACGATCAGTTAGCTGAATCCGTCAAAAGGAAGCTGAAAAAACTCGAAGAGCCCGATCATCGCTTTCTCCAGCACAACTCCCCTCACGCCACCGTGGATTCTCACACCGAAATTCTCTCCGCTCCGCTCACCCGAGTCACGACCCTCCCGAATGGCCTCCGAATCGCCACCGAGTCCAACCTCGCCTCGAAAACGGCCACTGTTGGTGTCTTCATCGACGCTGGATCGAGGTTTGAAAGCGAAGAATCCAACGGCACTGCGCATTTTTTGGAGCATATGATATTTAAGGGCACGGAGAGGAGAAACGCGCGGCAGTTGGAGGAGGAGATAGAGAACATGGGTGGTCATCTCAATGCGTACACTTCCAGAGAGCAGACGACTTATCACGCCCAGGTCATGGGTTCAGACGTGCCGCGTGCGCTGGATATTTTGTCTGATATTTTGCAGAATTCAAAGTTTGATGAACAGAGAATTATCCGGGAGAGGGATGTTATTCTCCGGGAGATGGAGGAGGTATTAAATTAATAGTCTTAATCATTGCTTCTGTGAATTGTTAGTTTTCTGTTGAGTTTATTTTTTCCGATTAATTGTGAGTTAGGCATTGGAGGAGACATGTTTTGTTCTTCTGTTCCCCATGCTGCTATACTGGAGTTTTAATAGAATTTATTCTGTTATCCAAATCAGATGGATTATACTCTTGATTTATTGAAAAATCAACTCTTATTAATGCTTGATTTTGGTTCCCTTGATTTTGCAAACTCTGTATCAATGTTTAAATACAATGCTTATTGTTCTCTATGTTCTCAACTGGTGTAGGTCGAAGGACAAACTCAAGAAGTTATATTCGATCACTTACATGCCACTGCTTTCCAGTTCACTCCTTTAGGGAGAACAATACTGGGACCTGCTGAAAATATCAAGAAAATTGGCAAAGAAGACCTACAGAACTACATATCAACTCATTACACTGCCCCTAGAATGGTATTACAGCATTAGGATTTCTTCACAAGTCCAGCCAGTTCCCATGGTTACCCGTCTGCTTTATATGATTCTTTTACCTTGCTGCTCGTTTGCTCTTATTGTTTTCGCTTTGTCTCTGTTTAGGTAGTTGCGGCGTCTGGGGCTGTCAGGCATGAAGATATTGTTGCAGAAGTTAAGAAATTATTTACGAAGTTGTCAACAAATCCAACAACTGCATCTAACTTGGTTGCCAAGGGACCTGCAATATTCACAGGCTCAGAGGTATGCTTATGTTATTTGAATGCATTATGATAACGTTACTGTGATAGTGCTTGAAGAGATCACAGGCAATAACTCATATTTTACTTAAATTGTGGAAATTTAGGTTAGGATGCTTGATGATGACATTCCTCTTGCCCAATTTGTGGTTGCTTTTGAAGGGGCTTCTTGGACAGATCCAGATTCAATTGCTTTAATGGTCATGCAGTCTATGTTGGGTTCTTGGGACAAAAATGCTGGTGGTGGAAAGCATATGGGGTCAGTATTTGCCATTACGTGTCCTGATAGTTATCTAATTTGTTGTGTGTACTGCACTTTTGCCCACATGAATAAACTGGATTTGAAATCTATAACACAGTTCTGAGCTGGCACAGAGGGTTGGCATCAATGAAATAGCAGAGAGCATGATGGCTTTCAATACCAACTACAAGGACACTGGTTTATTCGGTGTTTATGCTGTTGCTAAGGTAGGTCCACTTTGAATAAGAGGGCACTGGACTTCTACTCTGGATCGTTTAAAAAAATAAAGCACCGTCCTTCGCCCATCCCTATCCCCCACCCCTGAAAAAGTTAAAAAATAAATAAAAAATTCTGCTTATTTACAGCTTTGTAGAAACTTCTGTTGGCAGCTGTCGTGTAAAGTTATCAGTTTTTCGAGCAATTGTGAAAATTAATAGTAAACAGTCTCTAGAAGTACCTGCATATGAATCCTTTTTATTTCTGAAAATCCAACTTTCTGCATATTTACAGCTTTGTGTAAACTTCTGTTTGCAGCTGTTGTGTAACGTTATCGGTTTTTACATCAATTGTGAAAATTAATACATTGGTAGAGCAACCGTTTTCTAAAAGTACCTGAATATAGAATCTTTTTTTACTTCTGATACATTTTAATAAGCTTGTTATTTAGTTTCTTTAATCAGTCTTATTATGTCTGCTTCTGATTGTTTTATTTTGCAGCCTGATTGCTTGGATGATTTGGCCTATGCAATTATGTATGAGTTAACGAAGCTAAGTTATCGAGTATCCGAGGCAGATGTTATTCGAGCTCGTAATCAGGTACTTTGTTAAAGTCATGTAGGGATTGATCACCTTCCCTGACGGTTTTGTATCAAGTAATTTTAGGGGTCAGTATCATGGGGTGGATTCATAACTTTCAGATTAGGCATAAATCGGAGATTTGGGAAGGGAGATTATTTATTATTATATTTCATCTAAGAAACAATTGAAAATAGAGCTATGCGGGGTGGGGGTGGGTGTGTGTGTGTGTGGGGGGGGGGGGGGGGGTGTGGTATTAATTTTTAGGTGTATGCTTACATAATTCACACACGTGGTCACTTGCAGTTAAAATCTTCTCTCCTGCTTCACATGGATGGAACTGGCGCTGTTGCAGAAGATATTGGGCGCCAGGTACGATGTGCTGCACACAGGCACACACTCACATATTTTCCCGCTAATGGATTAATTTTTATCTTCTTTTAAGTTATATCATTCCTTTTTCCTAAGCTTTGAGGTTTATCTATTTTTCTTTCCCCCACTTCCTCTCTTTTTTGTTCTTTTGTTTCTTTTTGCACATTTTTTGGGTGTGGACCATGGTTTATTGTGTTTGCTATGCAACTTATGTTTATAGTTGAGAGAGAAGCCAGGTATAAGCTTTACTGTTTGTAAATTGTTCAAATTGGGTTCTGTATGATTCCAATTGAATCTCTCAAGTCTATTGATTCCATTTTAGTCAAATGTGTTATTGGTGATAGGAAAGATGTTGCATTGATGATATGTTGGCTGTTGATTTCGTAATATGTCCATAATCCTGGTTCATAAGCTACGGGTAAATGGTCTGACGCATCAGACTTGCTGGATATACATTAGCTCCTTTTTTTCCCCTCTCCTCCACGTTTCCAGCAAATCTTTGAAGTTTACCTAAATTTCTGGACAAGCATTTGGAGAACTATTGTAGGCATTCATCTTCCAAAACTATTAGGTGGTATTTTGTTGTCTCTCCGAATTTGTGGTATCCTAGTATGAAATTGAAGCTTTGATCACCAAATGCTTGTTACTTTCAATATACATGATTTCCCCCTGAAATGTAAATGAGATGCTTGCTTGAGAATGAGAAACTTGAAACTTAGGGTTTTTCTCATGAACTTCTTTAACATGTTGATCATGTTATCTCCTGAATATAGCTGTTTGTTTCACTTTTAATTCAAATCATTTATGGTTGCAGTTACTTACATATGGTAGAAGGATTCCATATGCTGAAATATTCGCCAGGATAGATGCTGTTGATGCCAGCACTATCAAACGTGTTGCCAACAGATTTATATTTGATAGAGTAAGATTCCATCTCTACTGCAATTCCTCAACAGAGAAATAGTGTTTGAAGATTCTTATTAGCTGGTTCTAAATAATATCCACTGCTGTGTGCTGTCTATGCAGGATGTTGCAATTACTGCTGTGGGGCCCATCCAGGGCTTGCCGGACTACAATTGGTTCAGGCGCAGGACATACTGGCTCCGTTATTAGGTTTCTTTTAATTTTATTGTTTGCATTCTTGCGTGGTTCTTTTCTCCGCGTATCATCTTCTCTTTCATTTGATGGAAGTAGTTGAGCTGTAATTGGTTATTTCCCCTATTTTTGTTCCATGTTACTCTTTCAAGATAAGGCAATAAAAATGAACATAACATGTTATATGTTCACATGTTACCCTGATTTTGTACTTTTGCCTCTGAAAAAAGCTGTTCTGTTTTTGTTGAGTAAAATCTCGTACGGTTCTCACTTACGGCAGAAATATTCGGTGTACTGTCAAGCTCTGAAACTTTGGTTAGCAAGATTCAATTGCCCATTGAGCATCTTATATTAGTTCCGCCGACGGTCTTTGAATTTTCATATACAATATGTAAAACTTGCAATGATGTCGTTTCTTTTTAGCGTATGGCTCTATTTAGTATTTACACTGCAATCCATCCAGAATTACTTAGTAGAAAAAAATCTTTAAATCTTTAGTATATTTTCTAAAGACAGTATAGTGGGCCTAGCATCTTTGAAGAAGGAATCAAACATAGATACTGCAACTTCAACTTTCGGGATAAATTTGGATGTGAGTGCGTAAAGTTATCGTTCATCATAAAGCAAGATATTTTATTTTAATAAAAACACTTGCTTCAAGAAATTTTAGTGAGAAGACCGCAAAATTTAATCCAGAAGCCGACGGAACAGTAAATAGTAAGCATTTGAAAAAAATCCAATAAACATGTACAACACAGGAAGATTGCATCGGCAAAATAATACGAAGATACCATCACGGGAAGGAACAAAACAAGTACATGAATATAATGTACATGATACTGCTAACAAAACAGTCGAAAAGGGAATACGGCCCTCCTTAACAAAAATATCCCCACCATCCGCAAAAAGTCACCTAACAGCAATTGCTCTGTTCTATAATAATTTCCTAGATTCTAAATAAAATGCCTTCCAAGGCATTAGCCTTATAAGCTGGAAAAATGGGAACACAATCAACTATTCTGAACATATTATACTAATACGGCACAAATTAGAGAAACTTCCCTTTAGCTACTTCTGATTAATTTTGCTCTGAAACTTCGGCTTCTACTAGTTTTGCTTTTCTCCCCATTTCTATGAGCTGTACATGTTAGCTTTTACCTGTAAGTATTTACAACTATAGCCTTTGCCTGCTTCTGGTGTTAGTGCCTCTACCCCGGGGAGTTTTCATTGACCTGCTGCTTACACCATAGCCCCAATTTTCATCATCTTCATCGTCTTCGTCTCCCATATCCATCATTCTGCCAGCTTTCCCACCTCTCCTCTGAGGAGGTCGTTTCCTTTTTATGTTTGCTGTGTAGGTCGAATAGTCGATGGTGTCTTCCTTCAGTGCATTCTTAAAATCCTGAAAGAGCAGAAGAATAAGCAAAGCTTCTATGTAAATAGACCCACAAATGTATAGAATAACAAAAGCACAGATTGAGGGTACCAAAAGAAAAAAGTTAGGTACATCTCATAATTTTTTTGGTCGAGAATAAATATCCTGATAGATAGAATGGAGAGGATGCAGCAAAAAGAGTATAAACTTGTATCAACAAATTAGGTAAAATAAAACACAAGTACGCATGTTAATAGTTACAAAAAATCCCACCTTTAGAGGTGAAGATATAAGTCTAATACAAGCACTTAAATTACCTGATATCTCCGTAAGAGGTCTTCGTAAGTGTTAGGTGGATCAATGTTAATGTCGTTAACAATGAAAGGGACACTCTGTTTTGATAGACTCTCTACTGTCTTTGTCACTTCATTTGGAGAAAACGCCTAATCAAAGAATAAAAATCCACTTTAGATGATTCATTTCAATCCATATAAGATTCGAAAAAGACTATTGATTACCTGACAGCGGATATCATCTAGGCCGTAAACAATCTTCAGGTGCCTCTTCAGCTTCAGAAGAAGTTGCACTGCACCAGCTGCTAGACAGTCAGCCTGAAAAAGTATCGAAAAATCCCGTGAGAAAACTAAGCTACTTGCAAAGACACAGATAAATAAGCATTTTAGGTACAGATAACTGAAAATTCTCAACGCAGGTAATATTTGACTTGGCATGATTTGAACAATAGCATTTAAGGTATCGCTGCAGATTACAAATACAATTCTCTTGTAACGAAAAAATTACTAGAAAATGTACCTGGATTTTCTGCAAATCACTTCTAGAGATGCTATGAGGATCTCTTGAGGATATTGGATTCATATTCAAATCATTCTGCTGACCATATAGCTCCCCAGATACTATGTTAATCCCATCAATTGTGCTATTTCTTTCCCTATCAGGCTGAACCATCCCATTATCATTACCGTTATGATCATTTCCTTGTAATGAATGCAAGAAGTCCTTCATGTTTGATTCTAATGTCCCAGCTCTAACTTGTACCACTCGATTTATAGTATAGATCAAATATAGAGGCTCATCGAGCAATGTGAAAGGTAGCAAAGCAAGAATCTCTGTGCAATATCTGCGAAGAGGAAAACAATATCAGATAACAACTTTAATAATGGCACTAAAAGCAAAAATCTAATGACTATAAGCAATAGAGCCTTACATCAGAAAAGGAATCACAGAGTCGCTACAGGTAGGCGTTTCAAATTTGTGAACCACAGAGGACATAAATCTGTTTCTTGAAATGCGATTTCCACGAATGAGTTTATAGATTCGAGCAACCCCATGCCGTGCATGCTTGGAAGATCCTACATCTGACTTCCCCTTCGTATTGTTAAATAATCTGGCTTGGGCTTTACCGTTTGACACTTCAGGGGGAACTCCACTCATGGAATGAATGAACATAAACGACAACTGAAGACCATCTCCCAAACGGCTTTCACAGAAAGCTGGATACCTGAAGAGTTCCATCTATTTAGCTTGCATAATGGCACATGGAGAAGTTTTTCAATTTTAGTGAGACTAACATACTTTTCATTCATATTCATCAGAAGACGATGAGCCAGCTCCGAATTAACCTCCTCAGGATCTGTTTCAAGTGCAATGAGATAGGGAACGCAAGTAATTGGGTGAACAAGACCTTGGCGCAACACAATTTCCACAATCTGAAAGCAGAAGAAAGCTAATTAGTAAATGAAAGCATGACTAAATATCAATAGATTATCAGGACTCAAATTATTTAATGTTTGCAGACAAAAGCCAGAGAGAATGATTGGATATTTAATGAGAACTGATTAGCAGATTTTGAAACCAATTAAGCAGGTTATTAGCGCAATAAATGGCTATTATCTCCACTTTGTTAGACCACAAGATGTAATCAACATGATGACTACAGGTAGAGTGGACAAACTATGGTACAACCTTGATAGCAGCTTCGCGCACGTGTTCATTGATATCCAAACTTCTCCCTAAGATAAAATCCCAATATAGCTGAACTATTCCACCGCATATGTTAGTATCACCAGCACCAGCGGCAACAGACACACTGTGAACACCCTCCACTGAATGTGTAACTTCTCCGTTACTAGCTTTATCAATTTCCATCTGACTCTCCGCATCCAGAAGATATTCGTACATGTTCTGTAGCGATTGCATCTGACAAAGAAAACAATGAGCATAGTGCACCAAAAAAATATTTCATTGACTGAAAAATGGTACCTTCAGACGAGCATCGGTGTGGGCAGAAAGAGTTGCCTCTAAAATTTTACCAACATCCTTTTGCAACATATGTTCAGGTCGAGCAATTAGTACGTACCCTAGTGCCTGAACAAGTAACAGAATTACATATTTAATTTCAAATCAATAAAAATTTGAGAACCATGTATGCCAGATACCTGCAATGCGCGAACTTTAATGATGAAATCTTCAGCCTGTAAATACTTCTTAAATAAGTTGATACTGCTGGCAACATCTAAATTTCTTGAGTTGGAGTCAGATCCATGCAGTATCGAGCTACCGTAGCGTATCAACAACCCCAAACAAAAAAGAGATCGACCTACTTGCTGCAAATATTATTTGAACATATCAGCGTATCAACTTGAAATAATAGAGCAACAGGACAAAGGGAAAAAGGCATCAATAAGTTCATGGAGGGCGAAACTACATTCATTTACCACAAATTTCTAGTTTTCTAAAACATAAATCATTGTCCAATTTAAATGTCAAATTTCAAATGTGTACAGGATGTTCCTACTTTCCAACGTTTTTGAACTGCATTCTCTAACAAGAAAGACAAAAAGTAGGAATAAATAGGCGTTCGCGTTCAACATTTAACTAGTTATTTTGTAATTTTTAAGCATTTAACGTTGACAAAATGGCTGGCTTTATTAACAGGGTATCTATTATACCAATAACGGGTACTCCAATGTAAAACTTTTTCCTCTCTTTTAAATAACATGATCATGCATGGGGTGATTACCAGCTCAGATAACTGAGAAGTGATAGTCCAGAAAATCAGGTATTCACTACCATTCTGTAAAGCATAAAGCTTACAGCCGACAAACATTGTGGTCGAACTTCAAAAAAACAAGCACAAGAATGGAAACAAAATGAAGTGATTCAGCAAGTAAAATTAATGAAAAGTACACCCTAGAGAATATCCACGTACAAAAAACACGAAAAATCCTTCCTATGACCAATAGTAAGGTGGCAGAGGGCCAACAAGCTAACAATTAGAACAGATAGTTTTGAAAGATGATTAGTAACCTGCTTATTATCAAATCCCAAGGCATCCAGGCGTTTGTAAAACAACTGGATAAGATACTCAACACCACTTGCTCCTTTTCCTGATACTTTACCCGCAGAACATAAGCACCTGATATTTAGAAGAATTCCAGAAAACAAAAATTGTCACGTCTTCCAGAAACGGAAGCTAGTCCTTACCATTTAAAAATTAAACCAATTCAAAAAAGTTAGTAGTGCTAGAGATGAAAGGACAAGGTAAAATAAGGAAGGGCCGACATGAATCCAATTTTCAAGGGAAGGAAAGTATGAAAGGTTGAAGTGTTTCTACTTGCTCACAGCAATGGTTCACAGCTGCACATTCTTCTCATCAGTTCAAAGTGTTGTTGACCTACTTCCTAACTCCAACAAGGATGTCTATGTTTTATGCAGGGTAAAATGTTCCTCGATGTGTCTCACCAAATATATGTGGAACATGAAACTAGATAAAGTAAACCGAGAAAATATCAACAGTTTAAAGACACTTGGAGGCCAATCATAAAGTACTTACGACTCTAATGTACAAAGACTTCAATGAAAATCTAGACCAAGAATACAACATACAATCAGAGTACGGATATTTATTCTAAGTTTAAAAAATGGTAGTATGTTTCGCAAAATTATCATTTATCATAACCACACAGCATGTGAATAGAAGAATCGATGATTTATAGAAGTAATCGCATATATATTCAATAAAAGCAGGAATAAAAAACAGTATCGTAAAGTAAGATAGATACTTTATGCAAGCATGGACAACTGTCAGAAAAGAATGCCGGACTATCATTTGTTTTAAGTCTTGTTCAAGTTCCTCCAAGACATTCTGAGGGAGCTTCCGTAGTAAAGGCAAGACAGTATCAATTATAAACAATATACTCTCCAGCAGCTGCGCAGCCACTCGATTGTCAGACTGGAAAGAAGAAGAAAAAGGCTTGTTAATGATGCTCAATTCCATTTAAAAAAAGCAAGAATGTTTCCAATTACAGAATCCAACAAGAACACCCACAGAAAAAGAAGCAAAAAATGTCTTAACATAATCAATATTTGGGCAACCCAACTTTATGAAACAATAAAAGAATCTTTAAAAGAGAGAAAGAAAGAGATTGAACTGTAAAAGTGGCCACCAACAAGATACACAAACGTTCATAGTACAAAAACATGCAGCTGATCCATTAAATAATCCTAATAGCAAGAGACTCGTGATGCATTGATTTGTGCACACATATTCATGCACCAGACTATGAGAATAGGTGAGAATTAGATACATAGATCTGTCACAATAACAATTTATAGTGGGTATTGTATTAAAATGGAATTCTTTTAACCTGGCTCTTCAGATATGGCTGTAATGTGATCACAAACTGGGAAGGATCAGAAGCCGGTGCACATAATGTAGGATCCACGAGACAAAAGGCATGCAAGAGCAGAACATATGGAAGCATTCGTCCTTCTCCTTCCTCGCTGTTTGTTTCAGCGACCTGAACCACATTAACATTGCCAAGAAAGACGTAACAGAAGTTCTGATATTAAGAGCAATAATTGAGCACGGTATTAATGACCAATTTTTTGCATAAGCAATAATACCTGCAATACTTTTTCCAACAGACACTTGCACATTAGCTCACATCGCCTTCGTACTGAAGCAAGTAGCACAGGGTTTATCCCTGCAGCTTTAGAGGATTGTGGAAAGAAATCAAGGGCTAAGTTCCGTTTAATGACAACGGCGAGAGTTTGGTGGCTGGACATTCTTCTCAACATCTCAACAACCTGCTCTGTCTTCTTAGCCAATTCCAGTGGAACACAACTACCATCTTTAAAAATATGGGTCTGCGAAGCACAAGGCTCCTCAAACCAAAACTCGTAAAATGTCTTGCAGACTAGGTCCTGTAAGAAGAGGACATCAAGAACAGAGGACATAACAATCCCACGACATTAGCAAAAGAACCTAAACAAAATATACTATTAACATCTTTCCGTGTAAACTTTATCATATCTGGATACCAACAAATAACTGAGACTATAAATGAACTTGGTGCAGAACTTGGTGCAGTGGATTTTTAAAAATCTGCCCTCCGTGGCGTCTGTTCATACCAGCTTAAGGTTTAAAAAAATAATTTACCAGAAAAGCAGGCAGTCCTAACAGCTTAGAATAAATAGATACCACTCGTAAAAAAAAATGTAACTTGTCATAGCTTACTGATTAAACGAACTTTTTAATTGGTTTACCTACAGTGTCAATTCACTACATAGATTCAATTGTGATATGACACAGATGTGTGGAAAATTTTGAGGCAAATAGATATCCTAAGACAATTGTTTGGTGTAATTGTCTGCTTCATACACAAATATAACAAAAGTGTAAGAGTTCGGCATAAAAAGGAAGTAGAGATGACTACAGCTAACCAAGAATTTTTTAGAAGGCACCCAGATACTTAAAGTATGCAGTCATATTCACAAATCACTGTGTACCTGTATGCTAGACTCTTCATCATTGATACGGGAAATTATCTCAACACATGCAGTGGTGTAATGTGAAAAGTCGGCACTGGAGGTACACATATCCTTGATAATTTTAATAGCACGTTTTCGGACACTTACTCCAGTATCCTTTATTCTCTCTGCTACCTTCTCAAAATACTACAGGAATAACCCTGAGTTAGAGGGCCAAAGAAGACATCAGAAGAGCAAAAGACGAGCATAGGCAGCTGCAGTACCTTTAGACCAACATCAGGATGTGAAGCAATATGACGGCCAACAAGCTCAAGTGCTGCTTCTCTAACTGATATAGCAGAGTCGCAAAACCTCCCTTCAACAGCTGTTTGGACAAGCTTGTCACCCAAAACCTCTGGATCAGCTTCCACAATAATACTAACCTGCTATCATTAACCAATTACGAAAGTGAGTCTTTGATAAATGGAGAAAGCCCACCTCCAGAATGAAGTAAAAAGAACAGGGAGAAAGAAACCAAAAGAAAGAGGGAAAGAAAAAGAATGAGGCACACAGTGGTTCACAACATACCGCTCGCATTGCCTTAGCACGAATCCCAGGTGAATTCTCTCGCAGACTTGCCTGATAATAGGAAGCAATAGAACTAAATTACAAGACCCAAAACTTTTAACAAATAAGCAACTTCACTTACCAATAGCACTTGAAGAATCTTGTCAAATCCTCTGGCGAAAGAACTGTTTTGTCCCAATGCCAGAGTAATTTTTTTCACTGAATCCCTTGTCAGAAAGGATGAGAAGGAACTAAAGTCACGCAAAATTGCTCTTGATTTCATCCTTGCGAGGAAGTAAAAAAACTTCTGTTGAGAAGCGGGGTCATCTTTATACCAAAGGCAAAGATAAAACCTGCAAATTAATATTTATTTCAAGGTTACGGTAAATGGAAATGTTTACATGAAACATTTTGCTTTAGTACAGACCATCGTGTGAAGAGGTGTAGTTCATCTGCAGAGCTTGAATCCTGCAAATAATTCAGGAGCATTTGTTGGGTAATCTCCTGCTTTGTCGCTGTTGCACGTGAAGACTTCCCAGAACGACTGCGATTTTGTTTCTGGTCATCCTTATTCTGGGACTCACAATATGTTTTCAAAACGAGGAGTTGTTTGTCGCATAAGCAAATCTGGCACTCAAAGTTACCAGAAGGAGCATCTTGCTCTCTTCCTCCCATACAATCAACATGGAATGGTCTATTACAACCTTGACACACGTATATAGATCCTTCTGTTGTTGAATCCAAACAAATAGAACAGACATCTCTTGCATAGCTAGGATCAGAACTCTCACTGTTCATCAACACCTGTACAATCCAGAACTTTTCCTTCCTACAGAGGATCGCATCATGTTTTAACCTTGCAGCAATTGTACCAAGAAGGTCAATGGCCATTGTTCTAGCGGCAATATCTTTTGATTTCGGCCCAGCATTCTGAAGTAGTAACACACACAAAACCTGTAGAAACTGTCTGTAAGCATTGTTTTCATATAATCTATATGTGCATCAACTGTGAATAAAGTACCTCTAGAATTGGGGCTGAGGCAGGATACTCGGGTAAGTTCAAAGTAGTGAGCAAATCTATTACAAGATTTTCCATTATTGCCTTCAATTCTGATGCATCCTGATTTTTTGTGCCAGTATATCGCTCAAGGACTCGACTCCAGAAGAGGCAGCAGGACTCTGTGACTGCCTCATGGCATTTGGAAGGGTAATCAGCATCAATTGTAATGTCCAGTGAAGGATTTCCAGAGGTTTGCCTCAGAACTTCAGGAAGGTTCGCACTATAATGAATCATTTGAATTAACAGAGCAGTGACTAACTGAATCTGCCTTTGTTCTTCGTCTGGGAGATGATATGTTCTCGGCACTCTCTTTGAAAGTGGCAACTTCAGAAGAATTTGAAGAGTTTCATCCATCATATACGATCGATGTTGAGTGTATGAATAATAAACCTGCACGTCAAAATGTAACCAACAGCGGAGTTCAGCACAAGCAGCAAGTGTGTACAGTTAGAAATAGACCAGACCAGAGAGAAGGCAAGGAAATTTCATTACCCCACCAATTAAACCAATTGCTTTGAGCTGCAAAAGCTGAATGTTATCGACCAAAAGAGTTTGTAAACTAGTTCTAACGAGCTGGAGAATGCAGCTATCTGATAGGCGCTCTATCGACAATAGCTGTTTGAGAAAAGTGAGAATAGTGCACAACTTCTGCAGTATAACATTGGCGGTAGTAGACATTCTGCCAAAAGTTGAATAGTATTACAATGGAAGAAACAAAACCAGATCAGACAATATGTATCAATATAAAATTTTGAAAATCTAAAAATGCCGTATAATGACAATAACATTGTATTATAAATGACATTAAGGTTCATCACACCTGTTTGCTGTTGATTTCTTAACTCTTGCACTCTTTGACGTTCGCCTTTTCTTACTAGCCGAGCCAATATGCCCAGCTTCTTCATCTTCCTCATCTGAATCACAAGTAAATAGGCATATGACAGAAAATAATATAAAATATGTGGTATTTCGTCTTTCATGGAAAGACTGTGTATGAGAACCTTAATTTGACACTCAGTTAAAAAGCTAAGGCCACATGGCCTGAAACGTGTGACCTTGCACCTGCTCCATGACCTTGGGAGGGAAAATTGATCAAACGCTAAGGGGCATGAGGGTGAATTCCTTACTATAATTGGAGATATAATAGATGCAACTGTTGCTATATGAGAAGTTAGAACAATGTTCACATGTTCTTTCACAGGAAGCAGTTACAAAAAAAGAGTAGAGAAATTACTCTTATTTTATATTAATAGAGGATGTAGAGACAGTAGAAACTTTGGGGGTAGACTGTAGAGATGATATAATAGAATAGTCACTCTTAATAAATCATGCGAAACGGTAACATGGAATAAAAAATTCAAATGAAATGAAACAGTTGAAAAATTAGCAGCAAGACATACCATCCAGCGTCACATCGTAATTTGGTTTGTGCAGAGCACGATATGCTGGATCACAAGCAAACATAACATCCAAAATTTGATGTCTTGCGAACTCCAAGATCCTCTCGATATTCTAATACAAGCAGACCATAATCAATTACAAGTCATTTCATCTAGCAGCTTCCACATTTGATTTATGTTATAAGGAAGTTATAGCAAGAACGCATTGCAAGATATTTCTTTCGCAATGAGCTTAAACTCGTACCTCTTCTTTATAGAGCTGTTTGGGCAAACCATCATAAGCCAAAATAGCTAAAGCTGCATGAATAGACTCCAGAGCACAATGAATAGATGAAACGGCATCAGCGTCCAACTGAGTTCAAGAGGTCAAATGGTAGACATTCAATATAAGGGAAAATAAGCATACAAAAGAAGATCATCCGAATATGGAGCTCCTCAACCACGTCAGTGCAAGTGGAAAGGGTTGAATAAGACAAAGGATTATTTTTTGTTAAACACAGTGACAACTGACAATAGTTTGGCCAACAAGAACCTTTGTTGTAAAACTAGGATAACAGCCCAAGAGTTGTGCATCTGGCAAAAACAGTTCACACGGCATGGTACAACCACGTCAAGTTAAAGAATGCAAACTTACGTTTTCACAATCATCAATAGAGAGTCCTTCTGCTCGATGAATTTGGTGATCCAAAATCTGTAATGTCTTTGAAAGAATGTCCATAGGAACCATATGTAGTATGTTCTTTGATCGAATCGACATGATGTCATTAACAAGTGCTTTAAGGTCAGCATGAGACAATGGTACCCATTCTGCTTCGTCCCGGTCATCAGAAATAATTTGTGCTCTTCCACACATGTCCTCCAACATATCACAAAATGCTGCAATAGCTGCATCTGAGGAAGGACAACATTGTCAATTCCTATATATTAACCCCCAAAAAAAAGCTAAAAAAAAAAACTAGAGAGATACCTTGATGCTGACGTGGATCAAGATACGTTGCTGATGACAAGTCATCTTTACGTTTCTTTTTTACTTTAGGTTTTCTAGAAGAACTGATAATATCCTGCAAATAGTGTCAAATCATTAGCCAGACTAGAGGTCCTTTTTACCAGTCAATTGAGTATTATCGGGCTACATTTTTGCTTTCTTTTTCTTTTATGGTCTTGAGAAATAAGCTTACATTATTAACATTATGGTCTTGCTGATAAGTTTCAGTTCTTATAGAGTTGCTGAACACTTGATTAGTAACAGGCATGCTCTCCTCAATGAGCTTTGGCTCGGTCAAATTGCCACTGTACTTTGACTCCTTAGCAGGACCTGAGAAACTTGAAGAATGCAATGAATAATAAGCCAGATAATAATTATTATCTATAGCATGTATCTTGTGACATTCATTAAAGTAGAAGTTTGTCAAATGGCCAAGGAAAGCAGATAATATCCAGGAGTTATTTCATATAAAGACGAGAGGAGGAAAGGCTAGGAAGAGCAGTGACTGTAATTTCCAGATCATGTGACAGACATCAAATTTGGGAGCAAGATGTATCACATAAAGCAACTCAACGACAAAAGTATTTCAGCAATTATCGGTAAGCATTGAACATTTGAACTATACTACAGGACCACAAATTTGAGGTGTGAACAGCAGGACATTTTACTGGGCAATGGCAAGACTACGGCTGTCTGTGTGGACAAACTAATCGCATAAATAAGTCATAAAAGCATTCCACAAAAAGATGACAGAAAATCTTGTGAAATTTGAAGGTATTGAATTGAACCCTTCACAAGGAAATTTATTTCAAGAATATCGGATTATTCTGTTATTTTATAGGGACTATTAGACTTTGTGATCCAAACTATGGCCCTTTCTATACTTAACCAACTACCATTTTTACACTTTGCCATATGATGCCCACGACTTCTGCATCTTACCATCCAAGATCTTCACCGGCGGAGTAGTCTGTCAAATCCATCAATCATGCACTTTAACACAGACTTTGCCGTCAGTAAAATTATTTTTTTAATTCATTGCTGTTCCTCATTGAATTAAAATTGGATTTTCATCAAGTTTAAGTTGTTAAATTAAGATATAAGCACAATTATTTTAGAAAAATTGGATTTATGTAGCACGATGAGAAACATTAGCATAGTTTAGGAGACGGTGCAAAGTTGTTCAATGTTCATGCGAAAAAGTGCAGTTACTTTTATAGATTCAAATGAGTTAATGGTTTTTCGCTCTCATGCACCTTCCACGTGATGGTATCTCAATGGATATTTCACCTTCTATAAGAGTTAGCATTATTATTATCCACATGTTAATTATTTATTAGTTGTGTAATTAGTTTGTTAGGTTAATTGCCAGCTGGACTTTCTAGAATCACAGCTTGCGAGTTATGTATAAATGCTACCTTGTAATTGCTTTCTCAGTAATCAGAAACTATGCAAACTGTTATCACAATCTCCATGTTCTCTCTCTAAATTCTGATACCTTCAATGACCCCTCGATGACAATATGCAAAACTTGTGACTTCAAATGGCAAAGCGTCGTTAATAAGTTGGCTGGTAAAGTGTAAAAACGGCCATAATTCGAATGGAATAGCACAACATCCCTACATATCTGTCTGAATCATAAAAAATGACAGTTGTTGTTGAAAAGACACTATGATTTCAGAGAGCATGTATCAGATGGACTATCACTGAACTCCAACTAATTTAAAACGAAAGCAAGTTCAGGTCCAATTACATAAGTCGTCGGCCTCAGAGACTATGAGTATTCGGATAGTTTTCTTTTCTGAAAATTGAAAGAAACGCATCTTGGAAATGGACAAGTTGACACTCATACACATTGACAAAGATTAAAAAGCTGTTCATGGACCAATTTACCTGGAGTGGCATACTCAAATGCTTCAGGATCATGTCTCAAAACATCGTTGCATAGGTTAAAGTTCCCCATTGAACCACCTGGTTGTAGGTTTTCTTCATCTTTGAGATTCCTAAAGATAAAACCATGTTAGCTCAATTTTTTACCATATCAAGCAGGATCTATTAGAATAAGTCTGGTAACAAAAGCTTAACTTCCTTTTTACACAATTTTCTATTTTCGATTAAAATACCTCAACAGTTTACTGAAAAATCTCCAAATGAAGCATATTCTAGAGAGACGAATATACCATTAAGAGATTACTCAACAAAGAGATTCCCATTAAACTTTTTTTACCATTTACCATTTACAATTAACATTGGTGTTGAAACTATTTTAGTATATAGACACTAACATTACTATAATTCTCACATAAAGCCCACAGTGCTTTTTATTGATCATTTATAATGTCTTCATCCATTAGTCTATCATAAAAATACGTTATCTCGTTTACAAATGTCAATTTGAGAGAGATAATTGATCTCCCTCGCAATGTTCATTTTAATACTACAGTAACTGACAACTGGTCATTTGTCTGTTATACTCTCTCTGGTTATATCAGGAATTTTATCATTGGCGAACGTGGGATTACCTTTTTTACTTCAAGTTGTACGTAAAGTATCAATTTATCACCATTTGGATACAACAGGTGGATTTTAGGATCAATTCCTTTTTATGGCTTGCAACGTAGTTAATTGGATTTAAGTGTAGCGAGATTCCACTTCTGACTACTGATTTAATAATACATAAACTCGATTTATTCACTTCCCACTTTCCATCCAAAAAAATTATAATTGCAAGTGTGGGAGGTAAATTGCACCATGTCATTGTTTTTAGCATTTTCTCCAACTCATCTCTTCTCGACATCGTACTTACAAAAAAATCTTAGTCAAATAGGTAATAAATGTCTTTTCCAAAGAGATCATTAACAATATTTGAAAAAAGTATTAACCCATAATGCACAAAAAATTCAAATCTTAAATTAATAAATACTATTCTTAGCTAGAGGACAAAATAAAATATTTATTACCACATAACTAGATAAATAGTTTACCCTAAACAATTAAAAATGGAGAAAAATAAGGCAAATGTTATAAAATTCCAAACCATAGATGTCATGTCTCCTATTTTCAAAGATTGTGCACTTAGCATAAGGATTAGTCATAATAAACAGTCAAATTCAAATTTAAACCATTTTTCTCTTCAAACTTCATCCATCCGATAATCCGATACAATTCTCAGTAAATATATGATTTAAACCGATTTCACTGCAAGGGAAAAAAACAACTGTACAATATCATACAAGTAATACATTACCACCAGCCAAACCACTGCTCCCGATATCAAATGCTATCCTTATTTTCTACTGTCCAACAAAAATACATCGCAGAACAAATAATTCGACCCCAAAGCTAAAACTCAAGCCCAAAAATTACATTCCCCTTCAAAGCCTATAATCGCCAATAACTCATTAACTAAATTTCCCCAAACCAAATACCGCCAACAAAATCCGGTACTTAAGAAAACGAACTTACAAGTAAGACACGTCGGCGTTACGGAGGAGATCAGCAATCTTTCCAGAAACATCAGCGCGGCTAGAATTCCGCCTCGAATCCCCACCACTGCCGTCGAATAGGCGAAGCTCCTGATCGAGCGCGCCGCAGAACACCGGAAGCGACGGCAGCGGCAAGCACGACGCCACATCGGAATGGACTGTGTTCGAGAGGCTGATGCCCGTGGGGACCCCCTCGCCGCCGCTCCCACCGACGGGATTCGACATCTAGGACCGAATTTAAGCCAGAAAAATCCAGTAATTGCAGAGCAATTGAGTTTGGATTTTTGGGGGAAATTGAGTTTTAGCCCTAGAGAGAGAAAATAGGGAGTAGGAGGAGAGAGAAATGATAAATGGCGGGGAAAAGAGTACAGAAATAAATTTGGGGACTTTTAGCCCAAGTACAGAGCAGACGGTATGTTTGTGTGTGAGTGCTGCGCTGGCAATTTATATGTCCTGGTGAAATAAAAAACAGTCAATGTTGACTTATCCGTACGTCGTCGTTTGAGCAGCGTGAAGCTTGTGAGCGACGCTCTTGTGGTCTTGCCTCTTTGTTTGAGATTCTCTTGTTTGCATTTTTTTTTCCTTTTTTGGTTAATATTTTTTAATTTTGATTTGCTATTTATTTTTTGGGGTTTTTATATCGTAAATCCATTCTCGTTAATTTCATGTAGTAGATAGTTTTTAATATCATACAATGTTCTGAATTCCCGCAAAAAAAACCGACGACGAGAAAATACCGAAAGACTGAGGAAGAAGAAATGGGAGAATAAGTATAAATTTCGACAAATTCCTATTGCAGCTTAGGGCCGTCGCGTACCATACTTTAAAGTTTAAACGTTCGATTTCTTATTCTTAACAAATTTGATTATATTTTTATATTTAATAGGTGGTTATACTTTTATAGATCGTTCAAGGTGGTTTAATTTGATTCATAAATAATTCGAGTATTTTCTAATGGCTCATAAAAATTTCAAAATTCAAAATCCACTCAGTAGATTAAGTCATAAATTAATTATCATTGTGCACCTTGGAAAATTCCATTTAGTTTTCCTTTTTTAAAATAACAAGTGTATTCTAGATTTGACCATTTATTAATTATTACTTAAAAAATAAATTAATGATTCATTGATGGGCTGGTATTACTCACAGCCCAACATACAAATAAAATCAAAGCTCAAGTACAAGGCAAAACTGAGTCACGAGTCATCATTGATATGAAGGCCCAATAGGCTCATTAAAATCCATGAAGTGTAGAAATTCACTTTTATTTATTTTATTTTTTAATTTTATGGATAGAAATTCACTTATAATTTCCCAAGAGGAAATATTCCACGGTGGATTGAATTTAAAAGTATCTAATTCCTCATAAACTTTAATTTCTATTAAAAAAAACTCGTAAACTCTCAAACTCTTAAGAATTTTCTGAGTTGGAGAATTTTGTCGGGACCAAGATACAGACACTTATACATATTTGCATGTCAATAAAAAATATAGCTCGACCTACAAATTGAGCGACATATTAATATAAACCACGAGTTTTAGAAACACACGTGAGTTATTTATAGTCAAACTATTATTAATAACGAAGTCTAATATATACTGCATGGTAAATATGTTAGAACTCGAATACAAAATTATATGAGATAATTGTAATTTAAACATAACGGAAAATAACTACATGGGTAATTTATACACTATCATTTTTGTTGTTAGATTTATTTATTTTTTAAGTTAAAAAAAAAAACCTCTAACAAAAAAAAATGATAGTGTATAAATTACTCATATATATTATACATGTCGAGGTTATGATATATATTTAATTTTATACGACAAAAGATAGTTTTTTTATTTTTCAATTTTTTTTTGCAATTTTTTTTAATTGGTGTAATTTTATATAATAAAAATATTGTTTTGTTTGTCGAAAAAATACAAGTAATTATTTTGACTTTTACATAAGCACCAACTTCTTACTTTTTAGTTTTTACTAAGAAAAACCAAAAAAAAACTTTTTACTTTTTACAAAACACCACCCCGTACAGTAAAAAATGGCAAGGTCAATGCGGTAAATTCCGTTAAATAACTATAAATTGCCAGTTCAAAATTTCCCAAATCCAAGATCAGACCTCTATTTCTAGGGTTATCAATTGATTCCGTTCCCGCGTGCTGCCATGTCCAATTCAACAGTTTCGCAGGTATTTAGCGTTACGATCTCACGTACTCATTTGAATTTGTGCAGCTTCAAACGATAAAAACCTGTCCCGCATTTGTTCCGACAAGAAAAAAGGGTCAATTCAGAAGTTATGAAGAATTATAATTAATTTTTGTCGAAAATTTTACGCTTTGAGATTGGTGATTGCTCAAAATCCGAGAAAGTAAGAGATAGAAGAGCATTTTTCGTGTTCATTTATATCTGCTTAGCTTTTTGTTTGGTTTTTTTGTTTTTTGATTCTTCTGCACTTGTACACGCGTCCATAAAGTAGTAGCTGTGTTGCCTTTATCTCTATAAATCTTATGTTTCCCGTTACAGAAAACCATATTTGAGCTGAGGCTTAGATAAAAGGGTTAATTTGCCATGTCTAACAGCTCATTTTTTTTTTTGTTTGCTTGTTTGGTTAATTTAATGTTTTGATGTTTTCTAATTACAGATGAACCGGTCATCCGAGCACCATTCTACCGGTCACAGTATGTTATTCACTTTATAATAGTTTTGATCTCTTCATTTGAAGATTATAACTTAAATTCACATCTATTATGTTTTCTATCATATACGTGACGACTTCATCATTTTGCCATGCAGAAGATAATGCTGTAAGAGGGACTGAAGTTTTCGTTGGCGGGTTGCCCCGCAGCATTACAGAGGAGAAAATCCACAAGGTCTTGTGTTTCTTTCTAGATTTGATTTTAATCATCTCGTATCTGCTTCTAGTTTATATCCATCGAATTATGGTCTTTCATGTATCTTAACGCAAGTTTTATTTGGATAAACTTCCACTTCCACAGATATTTTCTGCCTGCGGTGAAATTGTGGAAATTCGTATGATAAAGGACCAGCTAGGCAATTTGAAGGTAAACTTACGTGCTAACTCTCTTCCTTCAGGGGAGCATTATTTCTAAGGCTTAATTCTTCCATCATCCATATAAAGAAAAGTTATCACAAGCAGGGCCGGAACCATGTATAGGGTGGGCTGCCGCCCCAGCAGAAAAAAAATAGTTAAATCTTTATTCATATATTTTAGTGTATCTGGTGGCCTCCAAAACATAAAATATTATAGTGAATAATTCTTAAGTTTAAAGAGTCTCAATAATGATATCATGGCTATATTATATTAACCAAAAAATTAAATACTTACGTATTTATTGTTGCTTTCTAAAATATTTCTAAAACAAATTGGGGGGTGCTGCCCACAAACTTCGCAAACCCTTAATTTTTTTCAAACCCCCCAATAAAAAGTTCCCCTGATCACACGGTAAGCACATTAATATTTCCTTCTCACTGTTGTCTCATGTTTTCTTGTGATTTTTGGCAGGGATTTTGCTTTGTGCGATTTGCAACAAAAGAATCTGCTGCCAGAGCTGTGATGGAAAAAGCTGGCACTGTGGTGAGTATTAACTTTGATTTATCAGGAACATTTTTGTACCGTGAAGATTTTGTTCTGAAATTGACCCGCTTCCTAATTCTCGAGAAAATTGACATGAATCCTAATACAAACAAAATCCTTCAAGTTTGGGAATAAAATATTTTAAATATATGATTTTACTGCAACTGTAACAAATTTTTATATTGGGATCACTCACATTTGAGCTAGAAGTCAGTTTGCTGGGGCAAACTCAGTTTAGTTTTTCTTCAAAATAAGTGAAGCACAACCATTTTCAGCACTACGCTGAACATTTTCTTCCATGAAAGTAGTTTGAAGAAGGCCTTTTTCGTGTCTTTCTGTGAACTATTGGTCATGTTCCTTAACATGGAAACATAAAAGAATTTATTAGCCATTTAGGTTAATTTGTTTGCAACCTTTATAAACTCTGATCTGCGGAATCAAATAGTATGCAATGAATAAATTTGCTCATTTTTTTATGAAACATACTTTGGTTAAAAGTAACAAAAAACCTTTTTGATACTTAATCAATGAAAAGATGAGAGGGATCCATTTTTGAAACTTTAGCCACATATTCACTATCCGCTTACCACTAACAATGATTATTCTATAAAAAGCATAATCCATATATCTAGCTACAAGGTAAGGCACTAGTGAATAATGATAATTACTTTACACACCACACCTATTTTTTTTTTAATTTTAATTTTTAATTTTAGTTTTTATTAAATATAAACAAAATTTGGCCGTACAACACACACACCCAACACGTGCACCTAAAGGGATTCGAACCTTCAGGAACCTAGATTCCTTTCTCACGATCTAAAGCAAACGAGTGTGTGTTTTAATTATGTCTATTAATAAAAAATGCGAACCTACTTTTTGGTTTATTTCTCCATGGTTCAATTTTCAGCTAGATGGAAAGACGATTGGTGTTCTACCATCAAGTGAGCAGGTTACTTTATACTTCGGAAACCTTAATAAAGGTTTGTTGTCTTAGATCTTGCTTATTTTATTTAGTAACTCTGTGCACATGCCATAAATTTGTCCTTTTAGGTTGACCTTTAAAGTCTTTTTTATTTGCTGTTACTTATGAATACTAAATATTACTCTGCTTAGGTAGCTGTTTAAATACCTGTCTAGCTTCCGCATATAAATGCTATATCATGAGAGTATCTGAGCTTCTTAAGACTTTTGTGAGCTCTAGTTGAGTAGGTAATCTGCATTTGTTGTGTATCACTAGAACTTATCACCCCTTTGTTGTATTTTCCCCTTTGCAAGTTACCCTTACTTTTGTTTCTAATCAGCCATAACTTCCCACTCTCTTCCCATTCCATCCATATGTTTCTCGTGATGTGGCCGGTTTATTGTTGTACTACATGCATGACTGTTTTTTTTTTTTTGGCTCTCCCAGCTTGGAGTGCTGATGAATTCAAAAGATTGGTGCTCCAGGTATAAATGTGTATAGATTGGGTTTCTTGCAGGAATTTCATTGTCTAATTTCGACGTCTCCTCTTAAATTTTTTTTCATGTGCTACAGGTTTTCCCGGACATAGAATCCGTGGATCTGCCAAGTGTTAACGACACACCATCAGGTCAAAAGCATCGAAACCGTGGTTTTGCATTTGTGAAGTTCTGCTCCCATGCTGTGAGTTTTCTTTGCATTATCTTATATCTTCCTCTAGTTAGAAGTCATGAATGAACACTCTTTCTGAGTCTGTACTATGAAATTGCGTTGACTCTCCTGTTGCATCTGAACTCATACAGGATAAAAGCTCAGGTTCGTCGTTTTTGGCTCTGTGTTCCAGCATCAATAATTGATCCTTTCTTATTCAAAATCCTAATGCATAACAAAACACTTGCCATAAGAACACTTATTTCGTACCAAATCAAAACCTTAAAAAAAGTTATTGTTTTTTACGAAATTGGATATCTAGATTGTATTAGGATTTCCCTGATAAATTTCCTCCGCTGACAAAACTGAGTTAAATCAACAAATTTCTAAAATTCCATTGTAAACTTATCGTCTATCTAACGATTCACAGTGTTCAAGAATAAGAAATTATTGCATCAATTGCCAATGAGAAATCTTAACAGACACCATTTTTCTACTGGTGAATAAGCAGGATGATACAATCTGTCTTTTAACTTACTGTTAATTGAATCCTTTCTCCCGTTTTCATGCCCCTACCTTTTCTCAGCTTTTCTCAAATTAATTATCATTAACTTTCAACATGCAACGTAATACTCTGTTTTTCCGATTATATTAATCACTGGAAAGACATGAATTACCATGTAGTCTAAAATGCACTATGTGGTCCACATAAAATCCATCTCGTGTCAGATTAACATATTTCAATTTCTTCTCTTTTGGATCTTTGCCAACTTTTTTTTTTTAACTCAATGATGTTATCCACACTTTGCTGTCAAGTTTTAGATCAATTTCATTTAAAAAAAAGCTCTATATTCCTCCAGAAAAAAATCAGTAATCAAATTTGTTATCTTAAATTCTGTGTAGTTAAATTAATAATCATGTAACTCAAAACCTGGACGAGCTGAATTCCTGTTTTATTCATTTTATGGCCTTCAGTGCTGTACTGTACTGTTATCTTCCCACGTAATACATAATTGTCTGTTTTCTGCATATCTATCTGAATTTATGAAATAAGTCAGATGGATTTTCTTTCTCGTCTTTCGTTTACTTGAAGTATATCCTATGGAATTTTGGTCCATGCAGTTTATACAAATATTTGACTGTTAATTTTGTTGTAGATTAATTTACTCTCAACACTCATTTCTTATGTTCTTGAATCTAAAACACATTTTTGGATCTTTTTTGTCGTCAGCTTTCATGATGTCCATTATTTATCCTCTTATCCCTTTTCTCAAAGTTTTCTCGATCTAATGAGGAAAGGTTTCAAATTTGTGATTTTCTACTCTTGTCTTTGTTCTACAGAACATCGAGCAATTTGATCCAAACTTTGATAAAAAATATCATTACTTAGTTTCTCAATACCTTTTTTTTTGTTAATGAGCTTAATAATAAAACTGCTTAAGATTCTTAAAGATGCAGTAATATATTACCTCGGGGTAACACAAAAAAATTCATATGTTAAAGATTGCCGTTCTCAAAGAAGAATCATATGCTTACTTTCCAAGTTTGATTTATTAAAATTCTCACGTTCCTCTTTTGCCAAGGCTGGTCAATCTTTAACTCTCAACAACTCAGTCGAACAATGTTAATACTTGCCTCTGCAATATAATAGTAATTGACAAAATCTTACCGCATCTTGGCGATCTTTTGTCACCATTCAATATGCAACCTTTCACCAAGTTTATAATAATATTAACATCTTCTAATTGATGTAAAGACAAAAATAAATACAAAATATAACCCTTTTATACTAGAAAATTGAACCCCCTACTTCAAAATTATCAATCACAGGCTGCTGCACGTGCTCAACGGGTGGGCTCTCAACCAGATTTTCGTCTTGGGAATTTGCACCCTGCTGTTCAATGGGCAGAAGAGGGACATGAAAAAAACCCATCAGAACTTGCTAAGGTTCATAAATTCATAATCATTGTCTTTTATGTCATAAGCATTAAATCCTTAAAGAACGTTGCTGTATCTTTACCTTCTTGTTTATTTTCAGATTAAAATAGCTTTTGTCAGAAACCTCCCCCCTGATGCAGAGGAGAACTATTTGAAGCATATGTTTGAGCCTTTTGGCAAGGTCTTAAATATTTCGACTTTGATTTTCCCTTTCCTATGAACTATACACTTTATATGATGTTGTTGTGCTGATGCCATCTTCCAGGTGGAGAAAGTTGTGGTGTCAAAAAAAGCTAGCATTCCCGTCGGGTTTGTTCATTTTGCTGAGAGATCGGTATGCTGGTTTGCATTTGTTTATGTTCAATGTTGAAAGATTCCTTTTTAGCTGTTCTGGTTTGTCTTCATAGGGCGCTAATTGTTTGCATATAAATTGTATTTAACTGCATGTTAGATTTTGCGGTATTTGTGTTCTTATGTAGGAACATATTTTTATTACCATGGAAGATATTTTTAATGTTTAAAACTCATGACACATGGTCGAAAATATAAGAGAAGGTAATATTTAACGTATACTTCTCTTCTTCCTTCCTCACGTAAGGAGAAGGGAATGAGTCAGGTGATTCAAAAGGACTGAATGAATTATAAAACTGCCATCAGCTATTCGACTTAGGACATCCGTTCTTCTTTTCGTTTATACAGGAATTTGCATCTGCGAATCATCTGAATCTTAAAAAGGAAATACACATTCAATTTAGTCAAAAAGATCTATAGATTGAAAAATCTCAGTCTCACCTCAAGAAAGTTACTACAGAACTATGTTACTGAGATATGAAATGTAACTGAATGAAGAGATATTTTAAATTGGCAAACAAAACCTTTTTGCTGATACAGCGATGTTACCTAAGTGATTACTTAAGCTGTCTTTGTGTGCAAAAATTATCTTCATCTTATGTGACCTGGACTTACTTTTTTCACTGTGAGCAAATATTTGGGCTATAGGTGTGCACATGCTTGAGAACGAACATTTGCTTTTGGGTTATTGCATGTTTTGGTCATTTAAATCCATCTTTTGTAATTTCGGCTTCTTCACTTATTTGTTACGTGGTGATTTTAGGAAATTGAGGCAGTTTCTTTAGTAGCATATTATCTATTTATTTGCTGCTCTTTTGCATTTTAATGTTAACCAACCATATTTTGGACATTTTGATCCATTTTTTTTAATTTTGTTACTCTGATCAACGTCACTGATTGGTTACATTGTTCCGTTCTCTTAGACCCTTTTTTTTTGTGTAGGATCTTGAAAGAGCTATCAAGGAAATGAATGATAGAACAGTTCGAGGGCCTAGTGGAGGTTCAACGCATAAACTCCAGGTACTTAGGATTGCACTGGAAGCCTTAAGTTTGTAATCTGAACTGATAATTGACATTTCGAACCTTTTCAGTTTTCCCTCTTTGATGAATATATGCGGGTAACAAGGAGTCTTTAACATAATTAATATCCCATTATTTTCTGCAAACAGGTTGAAGTTGCAAGACCTATGGACAAAAGCAAGAAACGAGCTCCTGAGGAATCAGAAAGTAATCCTTCTGTTCAGGGCCATTTCAAACTTTTGAAGCACAATGATCATAATTCCTATCTCCAGAGGGTGAGTTCATCTCTAATGCCGTTTTTCTGTTGAATGGGCTGTTCTCACACCGTCTCTTTTACATCTCAGATATTGGAATTACACCGATTCAGTATAAAAACATTACAAATGTAAATTATGTTTAAATAATTTCCAAAATGAGTAACTAATTGGCTGTAAGACAGCATTTTAAGATAGCCTGAGATGTTCAAGTTGGAATCCAAAGTATGCGTTGGCCTGGATCGTGGATCGTCTTAAAAAATGTTGCTGTACAAAAAGGAGAAGGAATTATTAGGTTGTGTCATTTGTATTATATTTTTGGGTTAGCTGAGACTTGCAATTACTCCGTATTAACAATTTTCCCTTTCTTGAATCACATGTGTCTTGGTTAATGACATCCAACTTCTCTTTTTGTTTGCGATTATCTCATCTGTACTAGAGAAACTGAGAAAGAGCGCAACTATGCTTAGTGCTTGCACGTGATTCTTCATACCTCTTTCTTTTGAATCAGATTTACCGAATGCATTCTCTCATTCTCAGTCAAATTCCCTTTTATTTGTTTGATCACATGCTCTCATTCTCATACAGGAATTGGGATCTGCTGACCCGTATGAGGATGCTGTAATAGCATTGCCTTTATCTGTTAAGGAGCGCCTACTGCGAATCCTGCGACTTGGAATTGCTACTCGATTTGATGTTAGTTCCACAGTTAATACATAAAGTCTGCATTTGATAGTGCAAACTAAGTCCTCACACACCAAATTTTTTTAGTACTAAGTTTCTGTGAAATTGTTATTTTTCAAGAGTTTGTTTGAATTTGCCGATCGAGGAAATTGAAAACTAGACTTCCATCATAGCATCTTTATAGTGTAACAAATATTTATGTCTTCAATGGCTTTCAGTGGTAACTGCCCTTCTATTTCCCAAGATAAATTCTGTGAAGTTTCACACTTCTCTTCTTGTTTGTTGACAGATTGATGTGAAAAGTTTATGCAGTCTCAAGGAATTACCCGAGTCTATTGCCATATCTGTCCTTGACCAGGTTTTAGCAGATCGATTAACTGTATATGTTTTAATGTATACTTTTCCTTAATGTGATGCCTTAGCGACGAATTTCCAGCATCTAATTTTTCTTCCCTTATCCTTCTTTTAGTTTATGCTATCAGGAGCTGGTTTGCAAAATAAAGGAGCGTATCTAGACGGACTAATTTCTAGAGTATGTAATGTAACCGATCTCTATTGATAACATGTAGCTAGTTTTAGGTTTTGCTTCTAATTATATTTTTCGGTTAAATTAATATATTCATAATACAGCACTTAGTTGATAATGTGGGATTGAATCGAGGCTCAATCAGTTTTCCGGAAGTTGTGGATAATACTAGGAGTGAATCCAAGTTATACAGCTCGTTGCATCGAGCGTCTCCCCCTCCTGTCGGTTCTTTTGCTTCTCATGCACACTCTGCAGCTAGGTTCGTTTCTCGCTTAAGAAATATAGGACCGTTAAAGTTAATTGTGAACAAAAAAAAATGTCTAGACGAATAAATGTTTTATATTTCTTAATTTGTTTGTAATACCTATTGTACCCCTATCAGTAAGTTAAAAGATGGATTAATTATGGTTAATTAGGTCCATGTGAAATTGACTGTCGAAATTAATGGATTTATTGCATACTCCATCTTTATTTATATCATGTCTAATTTGTATTGTTTAGGTTTTTTATATTTATTAAATATCTGTTCATTATATAGATTTTAATGTTAATTTCAATCAATCAAAATATTAAATAGTATACAAAATAATTTACTGAAGTTATATGAAAATGATCAGAAGTTAACGAGATTATATATTTTCGCAGGTCCGACATTTTTGCATCACACTATTCGCCACTGCTGTCAGATTATCCTCTATCGAGCCGAACACTATTAGGAAGAGGGGTTGATAGAGACTCCGATTTTCTTCAATCGAGTCGACCCATATCTGCTTCCGGAAGCTTCCAGATTCCAAGCCAGGTTCCAAGAATAGGAATGTTGGAAGAAAGAAGCCACTCCCCCTACGAGGCAACACCGGTCCCACCTTTATCCTATGGAAGTTTCGGTTTGAGAACCGAAGAGGTACGGTATTCATCTGCCATCCAAACAGCACCTAATTCATCTGCCTCACCTTATGCTAGGCTCGGTGCAAGTTTGACTTCCGAAGCTAGAGCTGGCTCTGGTCAACAGCCACCTCGGCAGCAAATTAGGTTTGACCCTTATACGGGCGAACCTTATAAATTCGATCCTTTCACGGGCGAACCGATCCGCCCAGATACAACGGGCCCATTTTGATCAAAGCAGAGATTTGGATTTGTTTTTTAAGTTTTTTGGAAGGTAAGAAGTACTACATATTTATGTTTAAATTATGATTTACCTTGTTCATTTTTCCTCTCTTTTTTATAGATATACATACACATTCACTGTGCTGATGACTGATGTGGTTTACTACATTACTTGCCTTTGTTCCAATAGAAACATACGATTTCGATTTCTTATTTCGAAACCTTGGGAATGCATACAGATACATTTTTGTAGTGTTCAGTATTGGGAAATTAAATGAAATTAAATGCTGCACCTGAGTTTTAGTGGATTTAAATTGTAGATCTAAACATAATCACACACACACCCATGTATATGTGTGCTTAGTGGGTAGTTATTTAATCAAATTTACGGTTCAAATCCACCCGATGTAAATAATCAAGTGTTGTATCTAACTTCCCGTTCAGTATATGCGCTTGTAATGTCTATCCAAATTCAGTTTATAGGGCATTCTTGGTATTTTAGTAAAATAAGGTAAAATTGCAATTTGTTTTTCAAACACATTCAATTTAAATTAACTATTTAAAGTTGATTTTGCATAGTTAGCAAAAAATCGCTTATCTTAAAAATAAATAATTATTTCAATTTTTAAAAACTCTTGCAAACAAGTTGCATTATACAATATCGAAAACATCATCATTGAAAATGGAGCAACACAGAAATTCTTAGCCAATGAAAAAACCTGGGAACATAAATCATGCAATGCTGTAGAAATTTCCACAGTTATTCGCGCAGAAGAAAAAAGAAAAGAAGAAAACTTGTCCAAAATACTACTAGATACAGAGATAAATATACGTATTCTAACCGAGAGCTACACCAAACATGCCCCTCCGATTAGGGCCCCGCACCGTTGTATGACAGCCCGAGCTTCACTTCCAATCAAGCATATCAAAGAGCCACAAGACCTGCTCCTCTGAATTAGCAGCATCACAGAAATCGAGTTCAATCCCAAACACATCAATCACCTCTTCACTACCATGGTCCATGAAAAGCAACGAAATCCACGCCCTTATACCAGACACAAAAGGGTGTGCGGGCGAAAACTCGAGATAATCAAACGCCATCGCACGATAAGCAGATCGATCTACATACTCAAAAACCGATTTATTTATCACGCAAGCAACTTTTTCCGAATCCTTCCTAGCCACAAGCACAGAGACGCTAACAGTCTCCCCTAAAGGAATATTAAACCTCGGATGAATAGGCAACGTCAAGTTGTATTCCGGGCTGGCCAAGTGGAACTTGAGAACATCGGAAACGCCAGCTGGCGGGGTCCAAGCCCCCTTCCGGAAAACGAGGCCCGTCACAACTTCTGAATAGACAAGCTTTTCTTCGCTCCAAATGTCGATGTAGAAGTCCAAGTCGTTGAAGGACAGCCTTGGTGGAAGAAGGGGTCTGCTTTTTTGCCGCTTGTAAAAGGTTTTGAATAGTTTAAGGTAAGACAGAGTGGGAGGGGAAGGCTGCTTGCATATTGACGGCCATCTCTTTGCACATAAGCATTTCCAAAAGTAATCGTCTTTTGCGATTTCTTGCCACTGCTTACAGACTGACATGCATGCTGCTAGGTCTCTGCCTTCTAGGAGAGGGAAAACAGCCTTCAAAATTTCCTCGTACGACATTTTCGGAAAATGTTGAATGCTTCAGATGGTGAATGTTTTTAAAATCAAACTACGCGTAGCTTGTCCACATTGTTCCTGAAATGAAATAAAGCCGATCGAATATCAGATGCCACATATGTATATATGGAATTTCACACGACATGAAATCCTAGAGCCCTCCATAAGAAAATAGCTATATTTTTTTTTTGCATTAACGAGAATCGTGAAGATATGGTTTCATTTTTTCACATCGTTTACCAATTACAGGAACATGGAAAATGCCTCAAGAGAATATATTTCTCCGTGCTGAACTCAATTAATCATCTTTAATCCTAAATCAAGCATCACTAAGAACATAGATGTTTCATTTTCCATACCGTTTTACGTAATTACAGGAACAGGAACACGGAGAATACCTAAAAAAAAAAGTACATTTCCGTCATTCTGTGTGCTGAACTAAATTAATCATCCTTAATGCATAAAGTATAATGGAGTAAAATTATTTCCTAAATCATAACTAAGAACATCGATATCAAGCCGTATACTTCAAAGAAACACCACGACTACAAACGTATTCGGACGTGATCCAACATGATAATACCATATAAAATTCTCGTTACTTTATCGCACAATGCAGCACAAAGTCCGACGGTTCTAATCTCAAACATCAACTTACATCCATAAAATCCGGATCAAACCCAATCATGCAAAAATCAACACATTTGATATTTGACCAATAATTCAACATCACTTTTCTAACTTCTTCAGCAAGTACTCAATATCTTCCAGCCTTAATCTAGTGTAAGAATCCAGATGAGGATATCAAATAAAACACACACACACACACATGTATATATATACGCCAAAAAACAAAAATCGCTGAAAATGAAACCCAAAAGCAATTAACAAAGGTAAACGAAACATAACCCTAATTGGTATCAAAAATTAAATTAGAAAAAGGCGAAGAATGGAACTATACCGTGTAACGATTTTACCGATCCGAATGAAAATCAATGAAGTGGAAGAAGAAAATCATTTTTATATATGTAAATGTGTATATATCTATATCATGAATTGGGGATCAATTTGTCTGCTGACTAGCCTACAAAAAAAAAAATCCAGAAGAAAATTAAAAGGAGAGAGAAAGGAGCGAGGTGGTAGAATTGGGTGTGACGCGGTATACATCAATCGTGTGGGGTTGAGGTCTTGTGGGTCCCACAATTATTTATTAAAAATGACAAGTGGATTATTTGATGGTAATATTAAATAATCACTATCTTATTAAAATTAAAAGTTTATTGAATATAAAATCTAGAGATCAAATAACATTTTTTAACCCTACGTTGGAATAATATAAAATGAAACAATTGTGTATATATTCTTTAATTAAATATAAATATATATTAATTGTATATATATTTTTAATTAATATTAATTCTCATTTGGTGATATATTTGCATCATGGGCTACGTGGAGGTTGGGCCCACATATGGGAAAGATGTCATCTGAGTTAACAATATGGGCCCACATTGTAGCCCAAAAGTCCTGTTTAATTATAATTTGATTTACTAAAAATGGGCCGAAAATATTTGATTAGTTTTATCAATATTATGAAAATTAAATAATTTTAATGTTAAAAGTTCTTATTTGGTTGACAAGTTATGACATGATCAATTAAATAATTGAATCTTTGTTTTTCTATTTAATAAATCTAATATTTTTTTAAGTGGCCGTCTAAATAAGATTGTATCAATCGACTACCAATTAAACAAAGCCTAAGAAAATAATAAAAAAGATATTCATTTTTTTTTTTTTCATTTTTTAGAACAATTTGGTTCGACCAAACAAGCCTTAATCGAAGTTTCGGGGTTGTGTATGGTAATTTGGAAGAAAATATTTAGGTGTGTTCGGTCGTTCATATGTATAGTACACTCACACTAATATAACCAGAATTTTGAGTTCCAGCAATCAAATATATCAGAGGAAATTACGATGGGAGCCGATAATACTATTATATATAATTTTTAAAATCTTTATATAAGACAATATAGATTTGAAAAATGTAGGGAATTCTTGGCCTCAGTCGATCTTATGTTGGCTCAGCCAATGTACACTCATACACTCAGTAAAATATAAATAAAATATATCTTTACAATTTATCGACACATAAATTAACCATAAAGATCTACTCGATGTCGGTGTGTACTGTGTTAGTGTAGCATGAAATAAATCGAGAATTCGACCTTAAAATTAAATAAAACTTTGATTTATATCAGACAAAAAAGGAAGATATATAGTAGATTAATAAGTTTGTGATAATTATAAATTAAATCTATTTCATTTTATGAAAATAAGCCATACATTTTTAACATGCTAAATAACTAATTACTCGCACTAAGCTAAAATCAAAGGTGAACAAAAAAATTAAAGAAGCCACCTTCTTCTTCTTCTTTATTTATTATTTATTTTTAATTTGCTTTTGATTTGGCCATTGATGAAAATGGGGGCTGTAGTTGTACGGTGAACTACACGGCGGCGGCTTGGTTTTCTTGAGGTGTATTTGAGCCGTAAAGATCGACCAATTTCTGCAAAACAAGAACCTGAGTTTTGAGGAGTACGATGTAGTCGGCTGTTTCCTCGAAAAGATCTTGGTCGGGATTTATCATCTCGGCGTTCTGCGAAGGGACGAGGTTCCGGAGGGCGTCCAGCTTGTCGGAAACCGACGCGCCGCCGCCAATGTGGGTGGATCTACGGCGGTGGCTGCTGCTGAGTACTCGCGGCTTTGCGAGTTTTCTTTTTGAGTGTGGCGGTCGACTTCTCCTCAGCCTTCCGACCGCGGCGGGGACATGAATTCGTGGCTTTAAACCCATTACGGTGATTGGGTGGAGGAGGCGGCGGCGGTGGTGGGTTATGGTGGAGGAATTACGGGGCGGCTGACGGTGTAACGGGTGAGAGGAAATGGCGTTATATGGGGGGTTATATGTAAGGGGGTATTTAATTACTACCACCATGTGGGAGTAACTACCAAAATGCCACTTGCTCTACTTTTTTTTTTCTTTTTTGTGCCTTTTTTTTTCAATTTTTTGTTTAGTTTTTTCAATTTGATCGATCATTAATATTTCACATTTTATTTTCGTTAAATGTTTTTTGATAAAAAAAAAAAAAACCAATATCAAATTATATGTAATTCAGTAGAATTTCGATAAATTAATAACATCGTTAAAATAATATTTTTTCGCGGTCTTGGCTCATTGACAATGTATCAAAAAAAGTTCGATAAATTAATATTTCGCTAAATTAATAGAATTTGTCAAGTCCCAACTATATTAATTTCTAAAAGTTTAAATATAGCAATCTTCTTAATCTATACGTCGAGATCTAAACTAACATTTTAAACGATTTTTTTTTCCAGCTTTTATATATTCACCGTCGTTTATTATTTAATAATTTAATTTTACAAATTAGATAATCCCAATTGACCAACACTTTATAGTTTTATCAATTAGCACCACAAAACAATATTCAATTATGAGTATTCAAAATAAAAGTTGAACATCCCTCATGATTCAAAGGTCAAAAGTGATGAAGAAAAAAAGAAGAGAAAAAGCTAGTTCACAAAAATGATTATATATAAAATATAAATAGTTTAAACAAAAAATTAATTAAAGGTTATTTTCGTCATTTCACAAATGAATTGTGAGCTAGCTAGTTGTTATTTGGGAGAGAGAAGTAGTGGCCTCCCGAAGGGGCACATGCGAATATAGCATGGAACAGCAGAGAGAGAAAGTTAAGAGAGAGAAATTGCACATGGGGAGCACATGCACCAGAAAACAAAAAAGAGGATTGTATCTTTTTTTAGAGAGAGAAAGAGAGGAGAGAGAGAGAGAGAGAGAGAGAGAGAGAGAGAGAGAGAGAGAGAGAGAGATTGCATGTGACAGGTGTGAGACAGTGAAGCAGAATAAGAATTGTACTGCATGTTCTGCACATTCCCTGCATTCTATCCATCCAAAATTATAATCCCACTAATTAATTAACTAATACTAATTATGTATGTTAATTATTGTTTAAAAATTCATAATCACTAGTCTAATTAGTGTTTGTCTAATTAGGGTTGGAGCTCAAGTATAACCACATGTTTGCACGTGGCTGTTTTCTTTTCTGGATAGTTTCAATTAATCCCCGCATGTGAGAGCCAGTGTGTGATGAACCATGCACGTGATTGCATTTCAATTATTAAATAATGCAGATATTGTATATGCAACCCCCAAATACTCATTCCTCGGATCCTAAATAATAATAAAATAAAAATAATAATTGAAGATTCACTATTTTTTTTTTTAATTAATCTCATACTACATTATTAAATTAATAAAGTTAATCCCAAGTCTGGATTTTTATATTTTGTCAGCAGTTTTTGTATTTTGTTATGGTTGTCAGAAACAAATGATTTAATTTAATGGGCCCATAAAATAAATAAAATATTGATCCATTAAAGTTGATGAAAATCAACATAATTCGGCCCAACTAACAGAAAGTCCAATTATAATCAATTACATAATGGCCCAAGTCTAGTTATAATTTCGTTAATTACTTGCACACCAAATCTCGGCTAGCACAATCCTAATCCACTACTTCTATATATTTTTAATTATTCTTAAGATTTTTCTCTAATTTTTCTTTCAATTTATTTAATAATCAATTTTATATTATGAGAATTAAGTTTACATAAAAATTTTTCGGAATCAGTTTTGACTTTTGTACTATTAAATTTGTATAGATATTGATGGTGTTACCAATATCACAAATAAATTTGATTATAATTGTTATCGTCATTTATTAAATCAATAAAGTATTTTCACGTTTGAAATGCTATCCCGTGCATCGTACGGGAAAAAAAATACTAGTTAGTGATAAACTTATGAAACACAAATACGGAAACGACGATATGGAAAAAATGGGAAACAAATACGAAGAAACGGCATATCCAAAAAACAAAGGATACGTGAATTTGGAGAAAACGTGTATATATTAAAAGTATAGACGTATATTTATGATTATACTATATTAACATATATAAGTTTTTGTTTATTTATAAATTCTTTTTATACATTTATACTAATAAATTCAAAATAAATATTATTATCAACTATTAATTTGCAATTGATCATTAAGCCATGTAAATAATTAGGGAATCAACAAATTATTTAAGGAATTTACTGTTCAAACATATTTTTAACTTTTCAAAAATTGTAAACTGGTCCATAACATATCCGTCATTCTCGAGTGTCGACACACAAAACGTATCCGACCGAAACATATGATGGAAATGCGAATACGTTTAAAAAAAAATTGAAGTTTCCGTGCTACGCGGTGAGAAACTGATAATTTAATTTCTGTTTTGAATTAGTAATTTAATTAATTATCCTTAATCCAATTTATGAAGCTATGGAAATTCAGGTGAGAGCTTCCTCCTTCATGGGCGCTGCTGAAGATCTTGGCCTGAAGTTTTACCGCCCTAGATTTATATCCTTCATCATCGAAAATTCTTTCCACATTAACCCTAATTTCCTCCTTTCTCACAATTCCAGTTTCATCCTTCTCTAACCCTAATCCAACTCCCCAGTGATCGACAATGTAACTCCGGTTAAGGAACTGGTCGGCGAAGTACGGCCAGCACAGGAGCGGCACTCCGTTTCCGATCCCCTCAACGGTGGAGTTCCAGCCGCAGTGGCTGATGAAGCAAGCGACGGCGGGATGCGACAGCACCTGCTCCTGCGGTGACCAGCCGACCATTTTGCCGCGGTTCTTCACCCGTTCGGCGAATCCGGCAGGGTAAGCTTCTTCGATTTCATTATCTCGATTTGTATCTTGTCTAACCACCCATAGGAACGGCCTGTTTGTTGATTCGAGGCCGAGCGCCAGTTCTTCGAACTGGATTGCGTCGAAAACGGTGAAGCTCCCGAACGCGACGTAGACGACGGAATTCGGTGGCTGTTGGTCGAGCCACGCCAGGCAGGTGGAATCTTCCGGCCAGAAATGGCCGGCTGATTTTCCGAGTCGGTGGCTGCTTGGGAGGAGAGGGCCTATCGGCGAACAATTGGGGATGAAATTGAGCGCCGGCTGCTCCAACTCGGTTGATGAGTTGCAGATTAGACGTTGTATTAGTTTTGATGATTCGTTGTTTTGGATTATGGACTGGAAAATAGGTTTTCCCATGGATGGATCTGGGAAGCATGCCCATGCGAAGTTCATGGGGCTCATCTTAGGCATCAATGGAGCCAGCTGAATCGGCTGGTTCGTCAAGGGTGTTCCTGTTGGAGAAGATTTCAAATACAAACTAATTTCGACTACGCTCCAAAAAAAAAATCCAAAAAAATTGGAAATCGAAATGAAAAAAATTATTCTAAATTCGAGCGTTTTTCGAAAATATTGAATTACTTTAGGAAGTTAATGGCGTTTGTTTCGAAAAAACAAAAGACTCACCGTCGGCATCTACAATCCCATCATCGACGAGTTTCTGTACATTGAGTGTTAATGCCAACAACGCCACCGGTGCTGGCAAAAAGGCCGCTCTCTTGATGCCGAATTTTTCCACCACAGGCAATATTCCCGCCATATAGAAGTCCACGAGCACACACGTGATGATGTCATCACTTTCTGTTCTGTTCATCTCTTGAATTAGATTCTCCAGCTCCTTAGGCATGATCTTCACTGAAGCTTCAGCTAACTTCCCATGCTCATTTCTGTCTTCCCAAGATTCTAAGCCATCTGGAATTGAGACCAAATTTACGAGTTCGTGTATGTTACCTGTTAAGTGTATATTTATACACTTAATTCTATCTTTTAATTGGAGCTTTTGATGTGTTTTTACGATAATTGGTGCTTAATTTGGTTATTATTTGTATTTTAGGTGCAAATTGAAGAATTGGCAACTTTTGGGGTGAAAACTGCAAATTCAGAGAAAAAGTGGGCCAAAAGTGAAAAAATCAGAAATCTGGAGAATTAAAGACCGCACGGCCGTGCGGATTTTAGTTAAAAATCTCACACGGCCGTCCGGATGGGCGTGATGGCGCAGTGAAGGAATTTTAATTACACAAGGAAACCCGCTCTTTTATATTTTTGCACCCTATTTAAAGGCCACAAGCACACAATTAGGATTATCTTTTTTTTTATCTTTTTACCTTTCATCTTTATTTTAGTTTTTAGCTTTTATCTTTCGACACGCAATCAAGGAGCAAGAACGAAGACGAAGACTTGACGACTCTTCATTATAGTTCTTCTCTTTTATTGTTTTTATGATTTTTCGTATTTTCATTATGTTTTCCGTAACGAACATGAGTAGCTAAGTTTTTATTCTAGGATTTTATTGGAACCCTATGTGGTGATTCGAACCTCTTTTTCGACTTTTATGCAAGTTTAATTCTTCGATTATTTCCTCTATCTTGATCTTATTTAGTGCATGAGCGTAGCTAACTTATGTTGCTAGTTGTTATTGTTAGAATTGATTGACAGATCGTTTTAATAATTAGAACAGGGATAGGAGAACCTTCGAGTAGTTTTTCACCGAATGCGTGTGTTAATTGCATGTATTATCGTAGACATACAGATAATACCTTAGGTAGCCGTTTGCGAGACTTGTTATTTAATGCTTTATTTATATTAGGTTTGCATAGACATATAGTGAATCTTTTATGAATAATAGGTTTATAGCGCAGCGACAGCTGGTTATGAATAATCTCGTGTCTTGGGTTAATAATCGGGAATCGTAACTTGCATAATAGGAGATTAGTTGGGTGAAGAATTATCGCATAGGGGGAAGATAAAATCCTAGATCCGTTTATTATTGACTTTTTCTCGTGATTACTTGTTTTCTTAATTATTTTAATTTTATTAGTTAATTAATTTGACAACCTTGCGTAGGCTGGATAAAAATCACAATTGTTAGGATTTGGTACTTAGGATTAAATAATTTGCGTATTCCCTGTGGGATCGACATCCGACTCTCACGAGTCTACTTTACTACTTGTTTGCGATACGTACACTTGCGTGTTGGTATTTAGCACCCAACATTACCTGTCTGAGAAAGTGCCTTTGTAACTCGCTGGTGATTGAATTCGGTGTTGACAAATGTGACTTTGAGACCGTTTTCTGCCAAGTATTGGGCAACCTTCATCATGGGAATTACATGTCCTTGTGCTGGATACGGTATAGCCACTACATGTGGTTTTCTTTCCATTTTTTTCTTTACTAGATCAGATTCTATTGTGACTTCATCAACACCTGTTTAATGCCTGCATTTTATAGGTGGAGAGGATGATGAAAACCATGATTTAAAAAAGCAAGTTTATTTTTGCCATTTTCTGCTATTAATTTGTCATACCAATGTTGCAATGCAAGCCGTCTTAGCTTTTGTCATTTATATCTTCAATTTTATCTCTTGTCTGCTTCTTGCTTGTTCTTGGCAATGATTAAGACTTTATTACACTTATTTATGTTTCTTTAATTTTTTAATCATCTCATAGATCTTTGCACACTTTTTTGTTATACAACAACTTTGTGCCGTCTTGATGTAGTTGTGCAAGCATCTGACACGAGTTTCGATTTTGGCAGCATTCAATTGTATGCATCATTCTTTCTGATAAAAGAGCCGGCCAATATAATTCTCTTAAGGCCGGGATCCAGAGAAAGTGGAAGAAGATATGCTCAGACCAGGTCAACTTATACCTCTCCCTGTAGATTTATATATTTTCTCTACTTCATAGATGATTACAACGAGTCGTTTTGAATGCTTGCCCCGGATATTACAGGGGCAATTGGTTTATATGACGATTTAATTTTTTTCATCGATGTCATTTTTGTAGTACAAGAGAATGAAATAATTTTTTAATTGTATACCAATTGTTTTTAGTTTAACAAGAAAATGGTTAATGTTAAACAGAAAAAACAGAACGTTCATAACGAGCAATACAGTGAGATACAGTTTCCCCTATGAGACAACATATTGGTCTTGAAACCACACCGGGTGTTTCTCAGGAAAAAATAAACAAAAGAAAAAACATTGGTCCTGGAAATCTTAAAATGAAATTTGATTGATATCTGATAACTGCAATCTTGATAATTAATACTAACTTTAGGTTTCCTTGATCCAAGCTACGAAATTATTGAAATTCTTCTGTGAACAACCTCCTTTTGTGACACTAGACACGGCCTTCGATTGAAGATTCGAGGCTCTATCCTTGTAGCTTTTATCAGTCAGGAGAAGCTCCACCTTCTTCCTAATCTCTTCATGTACAATGATTCCATTTTCATCTTTATCCAAACTTAGCCCAATCTTCCAATATTCACAAATGTAGCTCTGGTTGAGAAACTGGTCTGCAAAGTAGGGCCAGCACAGGAAAGGGAGTCCGTTGCTTATACCCTCGACTGTTGAATTCCATCCGCAATGGCTCAGAAAACAAGCAACAGAAGGGTGAGATAACACCTTCTGTTGAGGTGCCCAATTCACCACTTTCCCCCGATGCTTCACTCTTTCTTTGAATCCTTTCGGATAAGCCTTATCGTTGTCCAGAGTCATATCTTGTCTTACAACCCATAGAAACGGCCTTTGGGTAAGTTCGAGCCCCGTAGCCAGTTCTTGAAATTGTGTTTGATCAAAAACTGTGAAGCTCCCAAACGCAACATATATGGTGGAGTTGGGCGGCTGTTGATCGAGCCATGCCAGGCTGGCGGAATCTTCCAGCCAGAAATATCCAGCTGATTTTCCGAGACGGTTGCTGGCGAGAAGAGGGCCTACTGGCACGCAATTAGGAACCACTGCGAGTGCCCCACGCTCCAATTCATGAGATGAATTGCAAATTACCCAATCTGCCAGTTTAGCCAATTCGATGTTCTTTAATATCGAATTAAATATAATTTTCTGCGCAGTGAAATCGCCGATGCACATCCATGCAAAGCCTAGTGTACTCATCGCAGGCATGTCTGGTGAAAGCTGAATCACCTGTTGCTTCACAGGTGTTCCTGGATGGACATGTTTATTACATATAAAATAACAAGAAAATCTTGTACTGGTTAATTAAACTAGTACCATAAAAGCTTTCATATATAGTTATTTTGTGTTGCAATGTATTTGGGGAATGGAGAACAGGTAAAAGACTCACCATTACTGTCGATGATTCCTTCATCGACCAGTTTCAGGACATTGATTGCCAAAGCCAACAGTCCAACAGATGCTGGCACGAAGGCCGCTCTCTTGATTCCGAGTTTGTTTGCCAAATCTAATGCCCAACCCAAGCCATAATCTGTAATAACACAGATGATTTTGTCACTCTCTGTTGCGTTGATTGATTCAATGAGAGCCTCGAGTTTCTCAGGCATGACCCTCATCATTGCATCTGTTAACTTTCCCAAGTCATTTCGATCCTCGTTGGGTGCTAATCCATCTGGGATCGAAGCCAGATTGATCAGCTCGTTTATGTTTTCAGTATGCGACAGAGCCTTCAGAATTCTCTCGTGGTTGAAATCTGTGTTGACAAATGTGACTTTTATGCCATTATTTGCTAAGCATTGGGCAAGCTCCATCAAGGGAATCACATGGCCTTGCGCTGGATATGGTATGGCTAATACATGTGGTCTTGCCATTTTTCACCCTTAAAAAATATGTTGTTACAACTTCATTGTCCTAATCTTTACCTCCATTTTTATAGTTGGCATGGATGAAGAAAATAAGGAGAACTAACATCAAGCCCTTGTCAGTTTCTCAAGGCTCACGTAGATTGCCGAAGCTGTAAGCATCTCTTCCCTTCTGTCTTTTATTCGATGTTTGTTATATCTTGTTTTTTTGCTCTTGCATCAATGCTATTGTTCTTTTTTTATTTTTTAAACTATTGTTTTCTCTATTTTATTCACTTTCTTTCCGTCCTCTACTCTGTTTGCATTTTGGTTTGAATTGACGATTGTCACTTCATTGTATGTAATCTTTCACGATTACCTTCATCCTCGACACTTGCACTTCTTCTTTGGTTTGTCCGCTTCGTTGTTCTTTTTTTCTTTTTTTTTTTTTTTAGATTTCGTTGTTCGTTTTTATTATTACGATTTGAATTCCATCGAATCAGCATCCATTTTTAATGGAATCTCCATCCTCTTTCAAGAACTATGCATGATATATTCTTGTTCTTGATTCTACAATTTCATGTCATGTTAATTGAACTGTGTAAGCGACCTTAATTTCAGATAGTTTTTCAGATGTTGAAGCTTTTATTCGTGTTTTTGTCCTATCTGATGCATTTATATGCTATTTACAGATTCTTAAACATGAAAAAGAAGACTATTTTCACTTGTGCAGGCTAAATCAAAATCCACAGAAACGATCCGTACACTTTTATCAGATAACAAGGACATGAATAAGTCTGCTTTCACAAGGTATCATTTCAGACATCCTTGATCCACTCTATAAAATTATCAAAATTCTTACCAGAGATCCCTCCTCTGACACTATCCACGGTTTTCGCCTGAAGACTCGTAGCTCTCTCCTTATAATTTTTATCACTCAGAATAAGTTCCACCTTATCCCTTATTTCCCCATGTCTGATAATCCCACTTCCATCTTTACTCAATCCTAGTCCAACCTCCCACTCATCACAAATGTACGTCTGGTTAAGGAACTGGTCTGCATAGAAAGGCCAGCACAGTAAAGGCACTCCATTGCCAATTCCCTCCACTGTAGAATTCCAACCGCAGTGGCTTATAAAGCATGCAACAGAGGCATGAGATAACACCTCTTGTTGAGGGGCCCACCCCACCATTCGCCCCCGATTCTTCACTCTATCTGCAAAACCTTCCGGATAATGTTTACTACCCGTATTACCATCTTTCACATCATGCCTCACAACCCACAAAAACGGCCTGTTTGTCAGTTCGAGCCCTAAAGCCAGTTCCTCAAACTGTGTATGATCAAAGAAGGTGAAGCTACCAAAGGCTACATATATGACAGAATCGACCGGCTGTTGATCGAGCCAAGCCAAGCAATCAGAGTCCTCCGGCCAGAAGTTCCCCGCCGCCTTCCCCAAACGGTTGCTTGCCAGAATGGGACCCACAGGTAGAATATCTGGCAATAGTGAAAATACCCCCGGCTCCAAGTAGTAGGACGAGTTGCAAATTATCCTCTCTGACAATTTGACCAAAGAGCTGTTTTTTTGCAGAATGTCGAAAACAGTCTTCTGTGTTGCCTCTTCACCAGCGGTGACCCACATGAAGGTCATTGGGTTCATGAGTGGCATGTTTGGTGACAGCCGAATGCTCTGGTTCGTCAAGGGTCTCCCTGCATTCATTGTAAGTATATATGTTATATATATATATATATATATATATATATTTATATATATATATA